AGAGTTTCAGTTACCCTGCATCCTCATTAGCACTTGGTATTGTCTGTGCTTATAAAATTTTGGCTATCTGCATATCTCGTTGTGGTTTGCATTTGCGTTTTCCTAGTGACTCATTGAGATCTCATCATTTCATGTGCTTATTATTCGCCCTTTTAAAAATTTTAGTTAAATGTTTATTCAGTGATATGGTTTGGATCTGTGTCCCCACTCAAATCTCATGTTCAGTTGTAATTCCCAATGTTGAGGTAGGGTGTGGTGGGCCTGGTCCAGTCCCCATGGGGGCGGTTTCTCATGAATGGTTTGGCACCATCCCCTTTGGTACTGTGGTTGTGATAGTGAGCTCTCTTGAGATATGGCTGTTTAAAAGTGTGGTACCTCCCCACCACTCTCACTCCTGATCCCACCGTGTGAGACTCCTTGCTTCCCCTCTGCCTTCTGCCATGTGGAAGCTTCCTGAGGCCTCCCCAGAAGCAGCTGCTGTGTTTCCTGTACAGCCTGAAGAACCATGAGCCAATTAAGCCTTTTTTCTCTATAAATTACCCAGCCTCAGGTATTTCTTTATAGCAATGCAAGAGTGGACTAATACATTCAGATACTTTTCCCATTTTATTAGTTGGATTGTTGTATTGCGTTGTGAGAGTTTTTAAATATATTCTGGATACAAGTCATTTATCAGATATATGCATTATAAATATTTTCTCACAGACTCGGTTATGGTGTCTTCTGAACTGCAAAAGTTTTTGATTTTCAATGTATAGACTTTTTTTCTGTTATGGATTATGTTGTTAATGTCATCTCTAAAATACATTTGCCTAGGTAAGGTCATGACAGTTTTCTCCCATGTTCTCTTGTAGAAGTTTTATTAAAGTTTGAGTGCTTACATTTAGGTCTTGGACCCATTTTGAGGTTTAATTTTTAAAATTTTAACGTTGCGGCATAAAGGTCTAAATTCACTTGTTAGCATATAGATAGCCAGTTGTCCCAGCACTGTCTGTTGAAAAGATTATCTTTGTTCATTGAATCATCTTGGTATCTTTGCTGAAAAGCAGTTGGGCTTACAAATAAGGTTATTTCCATTACAGTGTATGTCTATTCTTTTTTTTTTTTTTTTTTGAGACGGAGTTTCGCTCTTGTTACCCAGGCTGGAGTGCAATGGCGCGATCTCGGCTCACCGCAACCTCTGCCTCCTGGGTTCAGGCAATTCTCCTGCCTCAGCCTCCTGAGTAGCTGGGATTACAGGCACGCACCACCATGCCCAGCTATTTTTTTTGTATTTTTAGTAGAGACGGGGTTTCACCATGTTGACCAAGATGGTCTCGATCTCTTGACCTTGTGATCCACCCGCCTCGGCCTCCCAAAGTGCTGGGATTACAGGCTTGAGCCACCGCGCCCGGCTGTGTATGTCTATTCTTATACTAGTATCACACTGTCTTGATTATAGTAATTTCAATTTATTGTAAATTTGAAATTGGAAAGTAAATGTTCTCACATTTTCTCGTTTTTCAGAATTGTTGTGGTTCTTTTGGGTCGTTTGCATTTCTGTATGAATTGTAGGCTGAACTTCTAAATTTCTACAAAAACACCTCCGGGATTTTGATAGGGATTGGATTGATTGAATCTATGTACATCAGTTTGGGGAGAATTGCCATCTTAAGAATATTGGGTCTTTCTATCTATGAACATGGAATGTCTTTCTATTAAAATAGCATGCTTTTTTTTTTTTTTTTTGAGACGGAGTTTCACTCTTATTACCCAGGCTGGAGTGCAATGGCGCGATCTCGGCTCACCGCAACCTCTGCCTCCTGGGTTCAGGCAATTCTCCTGCCTCAGCCTCCTGAGTAGCTGGGATTACAGGCATGCGCCACCATGCCCAGCTAATTTTTTGTATTTTTAGTAGAGACGGGGTTTCACCATGTTGACCAGGATGGTCTTGATCTATTGACCTTGTGATCCACCTGCCTCGGCCTCCCAAAGTGCTGGGATTACAGGCGTGAGCCACCGCGCCCGGCGCTTTTTTTTTTTTTTTTTTTTTTTTTCCACATATCTAAAGTTTATACTTGCTCAGGTCTAAAGAAATAAGGAGAAAGGAAGGGTGGGATTATGGATCATATGAACAAATATATCTATCTTACTAAAATGTTTCTGCCACTAAAAGTAAGTCCCACATTACAAGTTTTTGAGTCCCAGTGTGCTGTGAGTTCTGCTTCTTTTCTGCCCTGTGTTTTTTGTTTCCAGATACTGGGGAGCAGGTCCTGGTGGATGTGGAGACCAAGAGCAATAAGGAGATCATGGAACACATTAGAAAAATCTTGGGGAAAACTGAGTGAGTTGTTGGGTTTGATCTGGTAGGAACAAACTTCTGAGCCCAGAGGATGTGAGAAAGAAAGGGTGGGAATAGTGTTGAGAGGTAAGATTCTCTAACAGTGAACCCCAGACACTAACAAGAGTTGGGGCTGCTCACCAAATCACTAAACCTCTGTAAGCTTTATCTCCCTTGGCTGTACAGTGCGAGAAGTACCTCTCTCCCTCCTATGGGGACGGGAAGCTGAAACGCAGCTGCTAACCCTTCTCCTGGGAATTTCAGCTTGGAGCTAGCAGATATCTAGCCCCAGGGCTCCTGGTGACAGGTCCCTCTTTCCATGAATGAGAAGAGACAGAAAGGGAGGGAAGCCAAAAAAGTCTGTCTTTGAGAAACTGCACAGAGGCCTTTTCAGGCTCCTTTATCCTGTGATTGTTCGTCAGAGCTGTGGGCTCCGCTGTGGCAGCAGATAGGCTGACTACACTGTGTAGGCTTGCTCCAGTGGTCTGGGGACAAGAAACAGCAAGCCTTCCTGCACTCCTCTCCTCAGGGGCCAGCAGGGAGGGAGGGATAGGCTTTGGGAGTGAGGAGCAGGTTAAAAGGCAGGAGATCCAGGTGTCCCTGGAGGATGGTGGGGCTGTCTTGGCTGAGAAACGGCCCCTGTGCCTCGTGCTGAGTCACCAGTGCTTGGTTGACATCTATGCTGTTTGGCAGGGAAACTCTCAGGGAAGAGGAGGAGGAGAAAAAGCAGCGCTCTCACCCAGCCAACTTCGGCCCTCGGAAGTACTGCCTGCGGGAGTGCATCTGTGAAGTGGAAGGGCAGGTGCCCTGCCCCAGCCTGGTGCCATTACCCAAGGAGATGACAGGGAAGTACCAAGCCGCCCTGAAAGCCAATGCCCAGGACTAAGGCCCATGGTCACTGTGGGCTTGGGTGATGGTGTCTGACCAATGGGGAGATTGGAATAGGGTTACTTTGGTTCAGGGAAGTCTGTGTTTCTGTGCCTGGAGACTCTGGAAATCCTTTTTTGCAATAAAAGGTCCCCTTTACACACCCGTGTAAAAGAACATGGGGAGAGGAGGGTCTGCAGCTGAGCTGCTAAATGAATATCCATGCTCCACTGGTCAAATAAAATGCTTCCTAACAGCAGCTTGGTGTGTATCCGGTCCTAGGCAAGAGGAAGGCCTATGTAGTGGAAAGGCTTTGGGCCTGGGAGGTTAAGGCCCCAGCCTATTGACATCTGTTTTGGTCGTGCGACCCTTCACTGGTCTTTGCTGACCTTGAATCTTCTCTGGGCTCTAGTCTGGAGAACATAAGGGCTGCTATGGTTGATTCTGGCTATCTGTGGTTGGCAGTGTGGACACCGCTCCATTCAGGTCCTTGGGGAAATTTTTCAGAAATCCAAAGGTAACCCTTTGTGCGCTGCTTTTTAAAGTTGATGACTCTTGCCTGCTGGGGGGCCTAGCCATGGGCCAGAGGTGGAGGAGCCCCAGGGGCTGACAGGCCAGCCTTACTCAGGCACATGCTTACTGGCTAGTCAGCCACTACCAGCCCGTGGCCCAGCCACTGTGTGTATTAGCAGGGAGGTTTGTAGGCCACGGAGGAAAGGAGACACCACCTGGTGGAGACTTTGGGGCCTTGCTGGGGTATGGTACCTGCAACTGGCTGCCCGGCTCTCCTGGCTCCCTCAGGCCCTGCTTACACCAAGCTCTGGAGGAGGGAGTGATGCATTATTGAGTGCCTTCCTAGTTCTTTTCCTCCTAAGACACTGATGTTACTATCACTTTAGTTACACTAAGGTGGAGGTTTCAGCCTCCAGAAGACAGCAGAGCCCTCTAGGGTCACCTTAAGAACAGATTTAGCTAGGCTGGGTGTGGTGGCTCATGCCTATAATCCCAGCAGTTTGGGAGGCTGATGTGGGCAGATTATTTGAGCCTAGGAGTTTAAAACCAGCCTGGGCAATGTGGCAAGACCTTGTTCCTACAAAAAATAGAAGTTAGCTGGGTATGGCGTTATGCATCTGTAGTCCCAGCTATTTGGGAGGCTGAGGTGGGAGGATCTCTTGAGCCTGAGAGGTCGAGGGTATAGTGAGTCATAGTTGTGCCACTGCACTCCAGCCTGTGACACAGAACAAGACTGACTCAAGAAAAAAAATTTTAAGGCTGGGCGCATTGGCTCACACCTGTAATCCCTGAACTTTAGGAGGCCGAGGTGGGCAGATCACGAGGTCAGGAGATTGAGACCATCCTGGCTAACACAGTGAAACCCATCTCTACTAAAAATACAAAAAATTAGCCAGGTATGGTGGCACGTGCCTGTGGTCCCAGCTACTCGGGAGGTTGAGGCAGGAGAATCACTTGAACCTGGGAGGCGGAGGTTGCAGTGAGTAGAGATTGCGCCACTGCAGTCCAATGTGGGTGACAGCAAGACTGTCTTAATTTTTTTTTTTGAGACGGAGTTTCGCTCGTTACCCAGGCTGGAGTGCAATGGCGCAATCTCGGCTCACCGCAACCTCCGCCTCCTGGGTTCAGGCAATTCTCCTGCCTCAGCCTCCTGAGTAGCTGGGATTACAGGCACGCGCCACCATGCCCAGCTAATTTTTTGTATTTTTAGTAGAGACGGGGTTTCACCATGTTGACCAGGATGGTCTCGATCTCTTGACCTCATGATCCACCCGCCTCAGCCTCCCAAAGTGCTGGGATTACAGGCTTGAGCCACTGTGCCCGGCCAAAACCAAAATTTTAAATAGGTTTAATTATAAAGTGAAGGACCAGTTGGATCATGAACTCCTAGAAACTCAGCCAAGGATACTTGACTTTATCTGATATAGGCAGGCAGTGGTTAAAATAAAAAAGGATGGTGGTGATTGGAAGAGCAGGACTGAAGTTTTCATTCCTCTACCTACTGGGGCCTTGACCAAGTCTTAAAGCTTTCTGGGTCTGTAGCTGAAACTGTAAAATGGGGAAAAGGCTGCCTTTTCTGCCACATGAAGTAGCTGGCTGGTGAAATGTCATGCTACAATGTGTTTCATTAACTGTTGGAGATTATCACATCAAATTGAGCACATTTGGATCTTTTACATTTGATGCTCGTTTGATTTTGTACCAGACCTGTGTTCAGGGTGATGGCCTGTTGGGGGTGGGAGGGGATGGTGGGCAGGAGTCTGATGTGTAACGGACAGGTGTTCCTTGAGTGACTACAGACTTCTGAAGGGGGTGTTTAATTGAAATCTAGCGGCTTGTCTCTCTGCCATCAGCATTTCGGAGGGTGGGTGGAAAAAGCTCTCTGTAACTGAGAGCCCTCCTGCTGCTGGTTTCAGGTTCCCACCCAACTGATTGCAGTCTTGACCTTGACATCAGCTGCCTGGGCTTTCTACTTGGCTGCAAGGGTTCTTCAGAAAGCACCTAGTTCCTTTTGGTCTTTATCTGCACTTTAGGTCTCCATAGCTTGTGACACAGAAAAAGCCTTCCTCTAATGCTCAAAAAGGCTGCTAACCAGCAGGAACGTCCTAAACCAAGAGTGGTGACCTCTCTCTAGACAGAATAACCATCTAGTCCCTAATGGGACAGAAAACTAGGGTTTGAGTTAAGGCGTGACACAGGAGTGACGGGTGTAAGGTGGACAGCCCAGACCCAGAAGGGGTATGTGTGGAGGCAGCAGCCATTCTTGTGGTGCAGTTACTTACTGCTTGTGTGGCTTCACGGCAGCAGATAATTTGTGGAAATAAACATTTTCTTTTTTTTTTTCTGTCCCTTATAGGCTACTTGACCCTGGATAGTTTCTCTTTAAACCTTTGTCTTTCCCCATTTTGTTTAGTAGTGATAAAAGATGGGTTTAAAATGTACAGAAATGGAAAAAAATTAGAGAAAATGTGAGGATTTTATAACTGATACATGTTCTTAATCTTATTTGAATAAGCAGTATTCACCAGCATTTTTCTTCTGAAATCACCACGTTTCTTCTCTTTTGAGGCACCACCTGGCAGTGCCATTTAAACCTGTATCTGCTGTGGTCCCAGTTACTCAGGAGGCTGAGTCAGGAAGACTGCTTGAGCCCACAAGGTTGAGGCTGCAGTGCACTCCAGCGTTGGTGACAGGGCAAGGCTCTAGCTGGCTGCCAGTGAATTCTGTTGTGCATCTGACTTTGGACCTCAGAATCCTCACCTGGAACATGAGAGGTGAGATAGCAATATGTTCTAACTTCTGGAACTTATTTTTACCCTTGATAATCCTTCGAGAATGAGCTTGCCAGTTTAAGGCCTGTCTGTAGCGACACCTGAGTGGTCAGCAGCCCACCTGTGTTCTGCTCCAGAAACATCTGTGTGGCTTTCCTAGTTCTACACCAAGGAGCTGCCCTGCTGCTGGGTGGATGTAAAAACTGTCCTGCCAGGGAATCCAGTGGACCACAGAGGGCCCAATTCCCCTTGGCCACTAAGGCTAAGGTAGGAGCTGGAGAGCTGTAGAGACAGGACCACCAGGATGCTTCATCTCCATGACAAAGGAGAGTGCTGTATTGTCTGGGGGCCAGGGTTCACTATTATGAAGAAAAATAAGGAGCAGGATGCACGTTAGTCTTTAATTCACTTTTAATAGTATAAACCTCATTTAGGTAGTAGTATTAAGCCACAACAATAATGCCACATTGAAACAGCATTTAATAAAATGCATAAAGCTAATTCATGCACTGCAATACTCTATATACAAACACAACAATGCAAATTCTTCTTCAAGACTGAAGACATTGATTAGATATAAAATTCAGTTTAAAAAGAACATGCTATTTTTTAAATGCCATCACATAAACAAAGTGATTTCACAGGGAGAAGAAAGCTGTATAAAGCTGCAGCTTTCAACAGGTTTTAAACCTGGCATTAAAATGTAATGGCATAACCAATATTTTTTATATTGTGAAGGGCAGAGGTTACAGAAACGGTCCCAAGAAAATCTAACACCCAAATTTTCCTTTGATAGATGCCTTTAAAAGGGCTGGTAATGCAGTTACATTCTAAGAGAAGTCCAAACTACAAGTAAAAACTACAGCTTGTACTGTGAAAAATGTGCAGCTTTTCAGTTATAAAACTAGTTGAACACTGGTTTACAAGATAATCTGTCGAACAGAGAGACTGTAGAAAAATATTCCAGCACTTGAGTTGTGTGTGGCAGCAGCATTTGAGTCCATGAATGCTATGGTTGTTAAAATAATTGATTATACTTTCCTAAAGAAAAGCCGTTTTTTAAAATGTTATCCAAACACTAAACTTTAACAGTCTATCAATCAATAAATGTTGAGCATTTTTTTCTATGTTGCATGTACAAATATCAAGACACCAAAATTACTGGCTTCTTAACTGAAAGTATAGCTGGGCATTAAAAATATCTGACATTTTTCTCCCCCCACCCCCCCATACTTTTTTTAAGCTCACATTTTGGTTTTAGATTGCTGTTAAGATAAATAGCCCCAAAGGAAATTTTTTATTTCAATTCATTTAGAGACTGTGATGCTTCTATTTTCATTTTAAGAAAGCCACTTTCAATAGTGTGATTGTCACGACAGGCTATGACAGGGAAGGTCGCACAATCTTGTGGGATGAGGCCAGTGAAATAGCAGAAGCTTTCTCTACATCAAAAACAGGGAAGCTGAAGGCTAAATAACCCACTGTCTCACAAAAGGCACTGAGTACTATGGTCTCATAAAGTGTTTAAACACATTTTAATAACTTATTTTTAAAAGAAAAAGAATAACCTGTGGATTATGTGAGTTTTTGCAGTGATCCAGTGATTCCTTCCAGCAGGCCCCTGCTTCCCAGGTCCATGAGCAACTACTGCTGGGCCGGGCCCCGGCTCTCTAGGGCCGAGTCTCACTGAGTCTCAGTTTAAGGCCAGATTAAGGGGTAAAATTCATCAGAATAGACCTGGACAAGGAAAATTTGGTATCTGTAGCTTTAAGGACACACATATCCATATTAAAATGTAATTTTTTTCTGAAAATTTAAAATCATAATTTACAGAAAGGAAATCAAGTCTGTAGATTTCATTCACATGCTTACAGTTAGAGAAGTAACTTGCGATTTGTAGCTTCTATGCCACCAAGGTTAGCCATCATGTCCATGCTTAATTTTAAAGAATACTTTTAGGTTATTTTTAATTGGCGATAGAGAGATGGGAATTTCTATTTGTTTACTCACAGGACAGTACCCAAAATCTTGCTGACTGAGCACAGAGCAAGCCTGGGACATTGCTACCATCTTTGGGAGTCAGGCCTCACTTACACAGAGCGTTCTGAATCTCTGACTGTAATGCCTGTCTCTGGGCTGCTCAACAGAGCTGAGTAGCTGGGAAGGCTGATGGCTCAACTCAACTGCCAAGTTCCTTCCAGGTAGGCCACGAATAGGTGCACAAAAAATTCCCATTTAGTTTTAGATATTAACTGTCTTCCAGCTTCCTGGCTCTTGTCTGAACCTAAAAACATAAAGAAATGTCACCCTGTCAGAACCTTTTCTGCCTGGAATTCTTCCTTGTGCAGAATGGAGATTCTGACTTCATGGCCCTTCCCAGGCACGCTCACCCAAAGGAAAATGGAGTGAAGAAATCACCAGCAAATCTTCCCTGCCGAGGGACCTTGCAACACCCACATCAGTTTGCGTTAGCAACTTTATCAAAAACTCTCTTTAAAACATAAGGAAAAAGTTTGGATACATGTCTGTATACATAATATACATCTATGTACACATACACACACTATATACACTGTACATATAGAGGGGATATAAACACATGTACATTCATTCAGTCTTGCAGCCTAGTAACCTGTACATGCACAATGCTGCTGAAGGGACCCAGGGCTGGACATGTGAAGTGCACGCTGGCAGGAGGCACACAATGAGGAGGTCCACACCCTGCGTACAAAAGACCCAAACCAACCCTGTCTCAATGAGGGGTTGGCTTTTGAAATTTACATCAAAGTTAAGACATTTTCAAAGAGCTACATAACCAAGAGAATGGAAGCTGGATAAAGGAAGCACATGGGGCATCTGCTTTGCTGGCCAAGGCATTCCCAGGGCCCAATGGGCACCACCCTCCCTGGGAGAAGACTGGCTGTCAGATGATGAGACTTTCCATGATCTGGACTTAGAGAAGCAAATGTTACCTATGACCCCATTGCATGTAAAGTCATTTACATTGGAAAGTTGCAACAAACTTCTGGCGTCCAATGACATCAGGTCTCAGAACGTGGATGCTCAGATGAACTGCTGATTGCAGCCAGGGGCTGGAAGCCCTGCAGAGGGAGGGCTGTGAGCAAGACTGCTCTGCAGGAAATGTCCTTAAAGGACTATGAGAGTAAAAGCCCTAGAAACAGCTGGAGTCCTTAGAATTTTTTGCTCCTTGCCGTAACTATCCCCCAGACAAGACAGCCAAGTATGTGTGTAGCGTGGATACTGCCGTGAGATTAGGGAGCCCAAGGCATCCATGGTTACCATTAGGCTTAGTGTCCTAATTGCCTCAGAAGAGTCCACATTCAATACTGACAATGACAAGCTAAACATCAGTCCCTCTTGAGGGCAGTTATACAACACATCTTACAAGTGACAACACCTGAAAATTAAATATAAAGCCCAGAACAGCAAAAGAACCTCAAACAACAGCCTTATGGCAAGGGTTAGACAAATAATGGAACCCCGCAGGACACACACAGAAATGTCAAATTTGGAGAGTGTGGTAGGTAACATACTTCCTTAAAAACACCTTCCAGGAATAACTTGAAAAGTATTACTTGCTCAACTAATTTTGTCTTTCAAAAAAAATCTCTTCCTGTCCTGTTTTATGTTAATGTGTAATGATCTCCACCAATTTCAACATTTATCTGTCTTAACCCAACATTATCTGAGATACTTCTGGAAAAGAGGCCACTTAACTAAGAGAAGACAGCATGTGTCTGTTCCACCTCTCTGAGCCAGCTGCTTCTCCTCACTGAGGGAGGAGCAGCCAGGCCAGTAGAAGAGGGAGCATGATGTGTCTCTGTAGAGTTCAGCAGCCAGAGGACACGTCTCACTTCATGAAACCCAGAGTTTCATAAACTGCTAACAAGGGTTCTAAGCCCTGTGAAAGATGGAGCCCAAATATTTGGTTTGGATCTCTTTAATTCTTGACTTTGGGCTGACTTTCCTTAACCAACCTGACAGGAGATGAAATGGACCTGCAGTCAAAGGCTTGAAATGAGTTCAAGCACCAAGAATTCAGGTTATGTGGACATGATCCTTAAAGAAAAGGCCACTTCAATCTAAGGCCAAGAGGATCTGAGAAACTGCCATAGTAGTGTTCACAACCCAAAACAGTCCCTGGAATCAGCCATCACCAGCGAAGGGACTTAAAGAGCAAGACCAGGTTAGAATCAGCACCTTTCCAAGCAAAATCACAATTTTCTGAACGGCTGTTTCGCCAGAGCCCAAGACTTCTTTATCCACCTGAGTCTAAATGGCCTACTGGCTGCCACTGAGTGACCTGGGGATGAGAAGAGGAGCTGGTGGAGACCTTTTTACCAACACCAAGAACTGGGATCTGAAAGCTGTTATGTATATATTCCCAAGAACTGCAACATGGCCCTGATGCTCACACTCAAAAATTAAAAGGACAGAAGGCAGGCAACAAGCTGTGTAAGAAGCACAGCTGAGCTTCAGGATGCCCGTTACCAAAATCCTTCACAAGCAGAGATGAAACAAACCTGCCGTAATTCCATTTTCTCAGCTGGTTTTTGTCCTAATTTTGAAACTGAAAACATATCAGGGTTAGAAAAGTAAAAATTAAGCTGGCAAAATTAAATCCTTTCCATCAATTTATAATGGCCACCCCACTGTTCTCCAAAACTTGTTGCCAAGGCAAGAATTAGAAATGATACAATTAAATCTAAAGATTTCACAAGTTGGAGATATTGTTCCCACTTACCCCACTAACAGTGACTTGCGTAAAGTGCTGCTAACCCTTCGGAATCAAGCATTCTGTTCTGCCTTGAGCCTGCGACAGCTTCCATTGCCTGCACCCTCGTGCAATCACATGTGTGGCACCAGCCTGAGCCAGATCAGAGCACCTGTGAGGCAGGGGAGTGTCTGGGGATCTTTTTTGATACCATCTGATTAACAAATCAACAGGCAAACTTAACCCAACAAGGTGCTTTTTCTTAATCTGGACTATTCAAAAGAGAAAACACTTGACCTGGTCTTCCACATGCCATGTTTCTCAAACAGGAAGAGCTTGCTATTTATTCACATCCATGAGAATTTATGGGTGTTGAAAGTTAGACGTAACTTTCTTATCAGCATACTCTGTTCTTGCTGTAAACTCTGGTTGCTATAACTTATGAGGAAAAAAGACAATCACCTTGGGAATGGGAATAGTGGGTTGTTTTTAAAGAGCAGGCAGCCTGCATTTGAAATGCTCTGGGGTGGTCGGCTGGCACACACCTAGGGGAACCAAAGTGCACGGTGTGCTAGTAATATTAACAGAGTTGCCAACAGAGATGCTGACGAGTCTGCACATTTTTAAAATCTCCAGTATTAAGGTCAACAGGAAGAAACTATCCTGAAACCTTCCATCCAGCTTTACCAGGCTCTGGCCACTCTGGCCAGGTGGCACAGCAAGCTCCTGCCCAGCCCCACTCCAGCCTCACAGTTCTGACAGAACTGCATAAACATGAGTCCTTTTCAAGGGGGCATTTGGAGTAGAAAAGCCCTGGGAAGGTAACCCTCACACTCCAAGGCCACAATCCTCCATCTGGACAAACACACAGGCACCCCCAATTGTATTGGAAGTACTGTCAAGGGCTCAAAATGCCAACCTTGCGCTTTTCGGTCAGAAGGCTCCATCTGCCATGAGCGCTAGACGTGATTTGGGGATGTTTGCACTTGCTAGAGGAAGTGTACATCTCATTTGGCAGTTAATGTCTGATTAGTTGCAATCCAATTCAGACAACTGAGTCATCAAAGGAGAACCCCAGGTTCTAGAGGGATCTGTAGATGTCCATCAGAGACCAGGACCAAGTGGTCAGGGAACCTGACAAATGTCCACTCTGTGGCTAGAAGCTTCTGGTCTGGGTCACCACCAACTGTGCTACCACACTCTCACTTACTGCATGATGCAAATGAGCCATGTTTCCATTCATGGAATTCAGCTCAACCACAGCATGTGCACACAATTAGGAATGATGCCTTTTCTTAAACATAAATGATTGTCTCCTGTACCCTAGTGAGTTTTCACAGAAATCATTAGCATTTCGGCAAAAGACATACACAGTTTTCCGTTTGCCCTGCCCACAGGCAAGATGTTGCTAACATTACACATTGCTAAGTGCTTAGAAAGTGCTAATATTATTACCCTGGTAATTAGTATCTATAATTCCAAGGACTTTTTATATATATACACACATACTATTCTCTTAGGTTCTTTCAGTTTTCTTTAATACTAGTCTCTGACGTTAGAAAACCTTTTTTGCCCTTTGAGAATTTCTAAATATAAATTGAGTTAAAAGATTGTTTCAAAATCTGCTGCTTCATCAAAAGGCATTAAAACATTTCTTATGTCAGGAAAGGATTCTACTAAATTGCTATTGTCTGGGATTAACAGATGAGGAAAAACCAGACAGGAAATGGCTAACATATGGAAATATTTGCACATACCAAAATACCACTACTTTACTTTTCTTTGTATGTGAACGGTCCTGGGAGGATTCTTTTGCTCCTTGGCAGGTGTGTGGTGTGCACTATAGACTGGCTCCGGTGATCTGGCCATTATACTCTGCTGTCTCCATCTTGAGGATGTAGGGGATTATGCTGTCTATCGAAACATTGCCAATGAGACCAGTAAAAAAAAGTTCTTCTGTTATGTTGGAGCTCATCAGCCTGAGTGCAGGGAGGCGAACGAGGATCCGGGCCAATCTGTAAAAGAGAGAGTCATTGGAAAAGGAGACTGATGCCCTTCAACCACAGCTCAGCACAGGCCCCTGGGGCCCTGTCTGAACTGCACAGAATCAAACCAAATGCATCCATCTACCCACCTCTCTTTTCTGATTTCAACAGTTCCTTTTTTTTTTTTTTTTTTTTTTTTTTTTTTTTTTTTTTTTTTTGAGACGGAGTTTCGCTCTTGTTACCCAGGCTGGAGTGCAATGGCGCGATCTCGGCTCACCGCAGCCTCCGCCTCCTGGGTTCAGGCAATTCTCCTGCCTCAGCCTCCTGGGTAGCTGAGATTACAGGCACGCACCACCATGCCCAGCTAATTTTTTTTGTATTTTTAGTAGAGACGGGGTTTCACCATGTTGACCAGGATGGTCTCGATCTCTTGACCTTGTGATCCACCCGCCTCAGCCTCCCAAAGTGCTGGGATTACAGGCTTGAGCCACCGTGCCCGGCAGTCAACAGTTCCTTTTAAAGAAATTTATCGTGAGAAAAAAACCAAACAAGTGAGTACAAAATGTATGTACAGATATATTCCCTTCAAGACTCTTGTTTATTCCAACTCTCCTCACCCCCATCAAAAAGAAAAAACTTGGAAATTCATCAACAGAGGACAGGTTAAAATAAAGGACTCTTCATATGATGAACTGCTTATAGACTCATTTAAAAAAGGATAATATTGGGAGGCTGAGACAGAAGAATCACTTGAACCTGGGAGATGCAGGTTGCAGTGAGCTGAGATCATGCCACTGTGCTCCAGCCTGGGCAACAAACGGCCAAACTCTGTCTCAAAAAAAAAAAAAAACCAAAAAAAAAAACCACTTTGTATTTACTGATCAGGAAAGATATCCATGATATATTGCTCAATAAAAACTTAAAAGAACATTATAAAACAGCAAGTATAGAGGTATATATAAAGTATTGGGAAAATGTTCACCACAATGCTAAGAGTTGGGCTGTGGGTATTGGGACTGGAGGTGATTTTACTTATTTTTTTGTACTGCTGTAATTCCCAGTGTTCATTTAGCATTATAAATAAAGCAATAAAATAGCTTTCATTCTGAAGCAACCTGGGGTGGAGGGTGCACCATGATGCTGCCCTGGAAGGCCACTCAACTCTGTGTATCTGAAGTGTCCCATGTGACCAGGCCATTTTCCAGCCAAGAATGGATCCCAGGTGAAAACGTGGAACATGTGCCAGGATGCTACTGCAGTGCCATGTGTGACAGCCCAAACTGGACCTACTTTTTCATTAGCAGGGAACTAGGAACCACAGAAAATGATGAAGAGTACGTATGGTTATTGTGTATTACATGAAAAGAGATTACAAAACCTTTGATATTTTATGATCCCAATTATAATACATAAAAAATTTCTGGAAGTGAATACACAGAATGTTAACAGTAGGTATTTCTGGATAGTGTTTTGTTTTGATTTTGAGACAGCATCTTCCTCTGTCATCCAGGCTGCAGTGCAATGATGTGATCTCGGCTCACTGCAACCTCAACCTCCCAGGCTCAAGTGATCCTCCCACCTCAGCCTCCTGAGTAGCTGGGATTACAGGTGCACACCACTACACCTGGCTAATTAAAAAATTTTTTTTCTCATACAGATGGGGTCTCACTATGTTGCCCAGGGTGTTTTCAAACTCTGGGGCTCAAACAGTCCTGCTGCCTCATCCTCCCTAAGTGTTGGTTTTACAGCTGTGAGTCACCATGGCCTGCCCCTAGATAGTGCTTTTTTAAAAGTTTTTTCCTTTTTGATTTCTAGAACACTCTTAAGTTTTTCTACAGTGAATACTTTTTTTTAAAATGAGAAAATGGGTTCATATTATGCAAGTAGCATTCCAGCACCAGCATCCATTCACCCAGCCACAATGAGTTGCAATGCTCCAATCTTGCAGGGCACACAAAGGTATAAGGGACCCGCGATCTCAGCTGGGCCTTACAGACTGGCTAAGATTTCTATCAGTAGAGATTCAAAGAATTGGGAGGTGTGGGAAGTATTTCAGGAGGAATTATCAATATGAGAAAAGGAACAAGAATGGGTAAGAGTAAAAAATGGATATTCCAGACAGTAAATATAAAGATTAAAAAAATGAATATGCAAACAGGGTGTAAAACATTCTAGAGCCTTTCTTTGAGAACTATCTCTGAGTGAATTTCTGAGCCCTAAAAGAAAGCCTCCCTTATACTCATGTAACCTGCATGTTCTGCACATGTACCCCAGAACTTAAAGTACAATTTAAAAACAAAAAGCCTCTCTTATCATTTTGGACTTCAAGTCACTTGTCATCACCCTACCCAACCCTGGGTCCCTGACTGGACAGGAGTGACTCATGATGTTTTCAGACATATTACATCTACTTTCCAAGGCCACAGAGTTGCTGATGTTAAAGTGATTCTAGAGTGTGCTATGGTTCTGCCAGCAGACCCAGAAGGCCATTTCCAGGCATCTTTTGGCCATGTTAACTGTTGGGGGAGCAGGCCTGTGGCCTCCTCGAGGGACAACCTGACTGGACACCTGGCTGGATGTATAAATTCTGGGTGTGGGTGCATTCCCTGAGAGTCCATTCTCTATGTATTGAGCCTGAAGTTATTCTAGATTCATGATGAGGCCTTCAGTGATTACAGTAGAAAATGGAGCTAGCTTTTGTAAAACCCACATCTGGGCAATGGAAGTGTGCCGAAAGGAGGAGGAGGCTCTTGTCTACCAGCAGGACCAGTCAGCTACAAGATGCCCCCAAGTCACACCAGATAAATGGTGGGGGAACTGTCCTGGTTTTAGCGCTGAAACACTAAGAGCTGGTTACCCACTGGGGGACAAAATCATTTCTTTTGAGAAGCACTGGGCCAAAAGGGGTAGCCCCCAAGACACCTCTGTTCCGTGGGGCTCCTGCAGACTGAGGTCTGTGCAGGGGACACACTTTGGGGAAGGTGGGCCTGTGTGTCTTCCCATGCTGTCAATTTTGTTCCAATGTTTATTTTAGGGGGATATGATGGAGAGGGAAATACTTGAAAGGGTCTCACAAATTCATGTAGCTTCTGGTAGGTCAGAAGCTGTCACAGAAAAGCATTATTCCATCCTTGGCTGGAAAGCCTGTCAATGCATTCTGCCCTTTGGCAGATCTGAAAACTTTCCTGCCTAAATCTGCATGAGAAAAGCTAATTTATATATATATAGCTACACATTCACTACAAATAAGATCATTAATTTTCACCCAAATAAACTTTTTTCCATCAGTTTATCTGAAGGAAAATGACTTTATACAACTCACACACTCCTTTATAGGGGTCAGGTTTGATTTCTGTCAATGAGAACTTTTCTGTCAAGTACTCTAGCACTGCCTGTTCAATGGATACTGACCAGAGAAGCAGACCTTTCAAACTACTCTGGGTAAGGGAATCTCCATAAGAACTCAAACCTCATGTACAGTGTTAGCCCCGGAACAAGGCATACAGCATCTGCTCCAACTTCTCCAATTAAAGAATAGCAATCTGAGACCATCACACAGCAATGCTATAATCAGCTGCAGTCCTGGCCCTCCTGCTGGCACTCTACGCTGCCTCTAGAATTCAAGAATTCTCTAGTTTTGGGAGCTTGGAAAAAAACAAAACTCAAGAATTAGAATGTGATCCAATGGAGGCTCTATCAGGCTGCTAAAAATGGAAAGGCTAACGTAACTTATATTTGAAACTACAAACTCAACCACACTCTGTGCTGCCCCAAGCAAGAGCGTGTGCCTAAATGACTCACCGGTAGGTATCTTCCGAGTAGGTTTTCTGAACATAGTCCTGCAACTCCATCTGTGCCTTTTCTTGGAATTTTTCAATCTGGCTTGTGCTGGTCAAACCTGGATGATCTGAAAACAGAAAAGTACCTCCAAATTCCCTCTGAATTTGAAAAGTCTCACTTGCAGACTTCTTAGTATTTTTAGTGAAACTTCTGCAAACTTCTCAAGTATAACAAACTGAATTCAAAGACTGATCTAGTTTAGGTATTATTAGAATGCTCGGTTTTCCTGTTTTCTGCCCAGGCCTGAAGTTCCAGGGAGGGGGTCGGGGACCCTGAGTAGATGCCAGCCTGAGCAGTCCCACCTGGTTGGTTCCAGACATCTGGCTTCCTACTACCCTAGAAAACAGTTTTTAAAACTATCACATAAAATTAGAAATTGTCATTTACTTTCTAAATATTTAATTATATAATTTGTCTCAATTTTATTAGCTATTTTGTTGTTAGTGAGTGGAGGGCTGGGAAGGAAGAGGAAAAGGTTAAGTTGTGTCCAACCCCTACTGTGAGGTCAGCAGTCAGCCTGAGTGACTTCTTTAGACGCCTTTAGAGAACAGTTGAGGGAAGTGAGGCCAGCCCAGGCATCCTGATTGCTGCCTCTTCATCTCCTGCGAACATACCTTTTAGCATGCTCCACAGCAGCTGCTGCTACTGCTATACACATTCTGTGCAAACAGGTAGAGCTTCAATGTGTACTGGATTATATGTGCTAATAAAATTTGGAAACTTGCAAAGAGCCAAAAACAAAGAAAAAAAAGGGTATCGGGTGGTAGCACACTTTTGTGTGCTGTAGTCTTGTTTGGCCAATGGTTTAATTAGTACACAGATCTATTCAGTGTGTGACATCAGGCACTGGAACATATTTCTTTGGGGCTGTAAAGGCAAGAATTAACAGCATCTATGTATTTATGTTATCTAGCAAAACATCTAGGTCACATATAATCCGCAGGGCTCTTTCTACATTACTGATGACAACATGTTCATGTTCAGAAACATCAGTAGATACCGGTAGAAAAGGGTCATGCATCCCCACTGCATATCTTACCAGGGCTAAAGAGAACTATAGCTTTAAGGTATGCATACTCATAGCCGTCTATATCCAGCTTCGCCATGCTGTTACAGAACTCTTGCAGCTTCCAGATATGCTCCATGACTTGCTTTATCCGGTCACCAGAAAGTTTATCTAGAAACCAAGATCACAAATTTCTGAGAAAGGTGGGTAAGAACAATAAAACCAGCTTATTTGAGGGCCACAGATGGAAAGAAATGGGATGATTTCACTTTTAAAAATCAGTAATCTCAAGATGAACAAGAGCTTCATTTTCCAGCTGCAGGTGAAGTGACAAGAGGTATGCAAAGTCTGCTCCAATATGGGTTCTACCTCAATAACGAACTCCTAGACCAGTGATTCTTCCTGGCCCTGCCGCTAGGCAGCTCCCTTGGCCTGGAGGTGTGTACATTGAGAATTCCTTTTATTCTGTGCCTGAATAATCATGTCTTTATTCTGAAGACTCACAGTTCATATAAATGGTTAGAAAATTTTTCTAAGTCTCTGCAGGCACCTGAACATTAAATGCTGGCATTTTTTAGTTGTCAAAACAATTTTTTTTCAGTTGGGTGTCTACTATGTTGCCCAGGCTGAACGTGAACTCATGAGCTCAAGTGATCCTCCCACCTCAGCATCCTGCGTAGCTGGGACTACAGGTATGCATCACCATACCTGGCTTCAGAAAAATTTTATATGTTATTTCATTTAATCTTCATGACAATACCTTAGTGGCGGTATCAGTATTATTATACTCAGTTTAAAATAAAACTGGCTAGTTGTGGTAGCTCATGCCTCTAGTCCCAATGTTTTGGGAGGCCAAGACAGGAGGACTGCTTGAGGCCAGGAGTTTGAGACCAGCTTGGGCAACATGATGAGACTCTGTCTCTACCCCACTGCACCCCCGCTCCCCACCCCCCGCAAAAAAAGAAAAGAAAACTAAAGCTCATTTGTGAACAACAAATCTAACATAACTTCAATAAAATCTAGTAGTTTTTTGAGTCTCGCTCTGTCGCCCAGGCTGGAGTGCAGTGGTGTGGTCTTGGTTCACTATAGCCTCTACCTCCTAGGTTCAAGCGATTTTCCTGCCTCAGCCTCCCAAGTAGCTGGGATTACAGGTGCTCACCACCATGCCTAATTTTTATATTTTTGGTAGAGACGGGGTTTCACCATGTTGTCCAACCTGGTCTTGAACCCCTGACCTTAAGTGACCCACCTGCCTCAGCTTCCCAATGTGGTGGGATTACAGGTGTAAGCCACTGCATCTGGCCTGTTACCGGGTATTTAAAACTTCACGCTTACATAACTATTCCAAGGAAATAACTAGAAAAACAAATGTATGAATAGGTTACTCATTCCTAGATACCAAACACTTGGAATGCCCAATTAAAAGTGAAGTTCCAAGCCTAGGCAGCATGGTTAAACCTCCTCTCTATAAAAATCATATAAAAATTAGCTGGGTGTGATGGCAAGTGCCTGTAGTCGCAGCTACTTGGGAGGCTGAGACAGGAGGATCATTTGAACCCAGGGGTTCAAGGGTGTAGTGAGCTACGACTGCCACTGCACTCCAGCTTAGCAACTCAGAGAGACTCTGTTTAAAAAAACCACTTCCCCCACTTCAGCTGCAAGTATAGATTTTCAGTCTTACTTCAAATGCTGGGTATGACAGTGGTCTTCAGTGTGTCAGACATGTTGCATGTGGAGAGACTACAATGGCTGCCTCCTATTCCTGACATTCCTGACACTGCTGATGTTTTGAACACCAAATACTAGATAGTTGCCACAGATCTCACAGAAGAGAGTCATTTGTTGATTCATATGGAGCAGCCTGGGTGAGGTACATGTGTCCTGGACTAGGGTCAGCATGACGCGGGTTTGTGCCCTAGTTTTTTTTTTTTTAAACAGTCTCACCTCACTCTGTCACCCAGGCTGGAGTGCAGTGGCACAATCTTGGTTCACTGCAATCTCTGCCTCCTGGGTTCAAGTGATTCTCATGCCTCAGCCTCCCAAGTAGCTGGAATTAACAGGCATGTACTACCATGCCCAGCTAATTGTGTGTGTGGTGTGTGTGGACACACACACACATATATATATGTATTTCTTTTGAGACAGAGTCTCGTTCTGTTGTCCAGGCTGGAGTGCAGTGCTGTGATCTTGGCTCACTGCAACCTCCACCTCCAAGGTTCAAGTGATTCTCCTGCCTCAGCCTCCCGATTAGCTGGGATTACAGGTACCCGCCACCACACCCAGCAAACTTTTTGTATTTTTAGTAGAGATGGGGTTTCACCATGTTGGCTAGGCTGGTCTTGGAACTCTTGACCTCCGATGATTCCCCTGTCTTGGCCTCCCAAAATGCTGGGATTACAGGTGTGAGCCACTGTGCTTGGCCTGTGCCCTAGTTTTTGTACTTAACTGTTTCATTTGGAGCAAGCCAGGGAACTTATCAGGGCCTCAGTTCCTCCACATGGAAAAATGAGGTAATAGTTCTAATTTATAGGGTTGTGAGGATCTTTGAACTATTATACATGAGAAAAGTAACCTATCAATGAAGACGAAAATATCAGCTGTGATTATTCTGAAAAGATCACCACTAAATGCCTATCAAGAAATTGACCTTTTCCATTTTTTCTTCATATTAATTGTATGAAGAGTGCAGTCTGGCAGAAATTTACATATTCTGACTGATAAGCGTCCTGTAACATTGATTGATTGATTCATTCATTGAGATGGGTTCTTGCTCTGTTACCCAGGCTGGAGTACATGGCATGATGACAGCTCACCATGGCCTCAAACTCTGGACTCAAGCAATCCTCCTGCCTCAGCCTCCTGAGTATCTGGGACTACAGGCAGATGCCACCAGGCCTGGCTAATGTTTTGTATTTTCAAGAGACAAGGTCTTGTTATGTTGCCCAGGCTGGTCTCAAACTCCTAGGCTCAAGTAATCCTCCTGCCTGACCTAACAAAGGATTACAGGCATGAGCCACCACGCCCAGTCCGAAGGTTCCATAACTTAAAGTCAAATTACTCTCAGCCTGTGGATACTGTGGGACACTGAGGCTAGCCAATATCCTATGGTGCCAGCCTGGGTCAACAAAAATGTCTTTGACATGGGCCTCCAACCAGGGCTGGGCTCTGCTCCATGGCCACCAGGCTACACCAAGACACACCCCAGCCCCAAGTCCCTGGACCCTACCTTCCTGGATGCTGTTCTGCAGGTGGTTGACGATGGCGGCTAGGATGGTGGAGAGACTCATGACCTGGGCACACTGGGCCAGGCCGAGGGTAAAGAGCTCATTCCAGCAGGCCCGCACCAGGCTGGTGTTGCAGTCCTGCCTGGGGATACAGAGATGAGACTGAGTGTGGTATATGCTGGCATTTCTCCAAGGTTGTGGGGCATGCAGGCACTAAGTCCCAGCATTTCCCAAACAGGTAAATTGAGCAAGTATTTGCTGAAGTGCTATTCAGGATCATTCTCCAAGAAAATGATGAAGTCTATGACTAAGTCTATGAATGTTGTAACTAAAGTTTTTCTGATAATCAACTATTCTCTTAAAAAACATTCTTTAGACTTAAATAATGAGAAATTTTAATAGGTATGGCCAAACCATCATTTCCTACAGCCTTCTAAAGCCTCAGCATCCTGGCTCTGCTCTGCTCCTGGAGATGGTATCAGTTACTTAAGTCCTTCACCCAAGGTCATAAGAGGCTGCAGGGATCAAAAGACTAAGAGCTGAGTACAGATTCTGAAGGGCAGAAACATACCCTGCAAACCTTGTAGGGCAGGAGGCAGGCTCTGTGCTGCAGCTGAGACTGAAGCAGGGAAGATGGGGGTCCAGTTAAGGCCGCTTCCAGCCCTGCCCTGGCTAAATTCTTACTCAGGTTAATTAGCAAGGTTGGCGTATCATAAGACACTACATCCTTATTCTCAGAAACCCCCAAATGGCATTCCCTCACCTGTCTCAAGATTTCAGGAGGTCAAAGAAACTGGGCTGTCTTGACAATGCTGTTTTCTCCAGTTGCCTGAAGGGTGGCCCAGCCAGAGGAGGCAAGTGAGAACCAGGGCTCCTGCACTGTGTCACTCCCAAATGCCCCAGATGTACATCTAGCATTTTACTATGATCACTGCCCTGGACACTAACTTATGAAAAACAGTACATGAAATGTAACTAAAACCACTTTAAATGTGGTAGCACATTTTATCTAGCCCGGACTGAGAAACTTGGAGGAAATTCCAAATTACCCAACTAGAAAAAGTATACTCAGGGCAGTGGGTGAACCACGTTTTAACTTCAGTTAAAAAAATCTCAGGTACCTACCAGTACTAATAACTGTAGACTGTGGTGTTATAAAAAAAACAACTGCCTGAAGTTACACCACCTACCACATGGTAGCAAGGGGTAGGCTAATCTCCAAACAGCTAACAATGAAACTCCTAATACTTGTTTAGCAGTCATTACCTGTCTAGTTCTCCCTGGAGAATGAGACAATTCTGTCTGCCTTTTCTTTAATAATGGAAGGAGGTGACCATTCTAACAACTACTTAGGACATATCCCATACCAACTGACCACAGAACCACACTGCCTTCTGCTGAGCCCCTTGCGTGCCAGGCACTGGGTTAAGAGCTTTATAGATCTTAAACCCATGTAAGGATTCTACAGTGAGAAACTGGAGGCTCAGAGAGGTACAGTGACTAGCACAAGGCAACACAGCTGACAAAGGCTATTCTTACGGCCTGACAACCAGGTCTGTTTGCCCCAAACCAATAGTGTAAACTACCAGACAACCCTGACCTCCATTCTAGTGTTTTCCACATATTACCGAAGGATGGTTACTCTGCAATATGCATTAACTCTCACAGTATTTCCATTTTTATATGGTTACTTATCTTTCAACCAGACTGCCAGCCACCTGATGGCACGATAGCAGTTACACCAGTTACACAGCACTTGGCACACTGGCAGAGCCAATGTTGGGATTTAGAGGAGAAATAAACACAAGTAGTGCTCAAGAAAGCAAGTAAAGAGGGGCTTCCTGCAGAGACGACACCAGGGTCTGTACTACTCAATGTGCCGGTTGGCACTGTGGCTTGTGTGAGAATGTAAATCAGTGTTTGAAGAAACAGCTGATTCACATGCACTTTATGAAAGCTAGGCGCAGTTCCCGACCTGGCTTCAGTTTGAGAGTCACACTGTGCCATAGCACAGTGCGAGGGACTACCCTTGCCTTCTACATTCTTCTCTATCCCCAGCTCCCAGCACCAAATCCTTGTACGTAAGAGACTCCATAAAGGTTTAAGGAACACTGCAGAACTGGCAACTCTGTTACCAGTCCACTAACTATACTTAGTAAAAAACTCAGGGTCCTTTGAGTGAGGTTATAGTAACAGTCAAACTAGAAGAAGGGCCCTCAGAGTTCTTCCAGGTCATTCCTAGGGAGAGGAAGGCCCTCACCCAAGGATACATGCAGAGAAAAGTGGCCACTTACCCAAGTGCCTGAAAGGCTGGGATTGACCGAGCCCAGTGCATTGAGAGGAACAGCAGACGGGACGCAGACTCACAGATGTAGTGCACATTGAGGTACTCTGGCATTGGGCTGGGCATTGTAAGCTGGAAAAGAGAAGGCACATGGCACAGGAGGTGAAGGAAGGACAGGCGATGGCTTTGTCTGTCAACGTGTATCCCTGTCATGCTTCAATAACAGTGGCATCTAGAGTCACTCTGTGAAGTCCCCTGCAGTGGGGGCTTGCATAGACTCCCCATGTCTTCTTGCTCAGTGAACTAAGGGTCTAATGGGCCTTGGAATGTGGTCCATAAGCCTAAGGTGACCTTCCCAGCCAACTCACACAAAAACATACTCAAGTCTTACCTCAGCTAAATTGTTATTTGTTCTATAGCAACTCCATTTTGAGCCAGAGGTTAAGGTCTAAATTAAATCTGGGGAATAGGGGCCAGGTGCAGTGGCTCATGCCTATAACCCCAGTACTTTGGGAGGTTGAGGCAGGCAGATCACAGGAGTTTGAGACCAGCCTGGCCAACATAGTGAAACCCCATCTCTACTAAAAATATAAAAATTAGCCAAGTGTGGTGGTATACGCCTATAATCCCAGCTACTTGGGAGGCTGAGGCAGGAGAATCGCTTGAACCTGGGAGGCGGAGGTTGTGGTGAACCAAGATCGTACCACTGCACTCCAATATGGATGACAGAGTGAGACTCAAGTCTCAAAAAAATAAAAAAATAAATAAAAAATAAATCTGGGTAATGGGCTGACTTCATGGGCTAGCAGGCATTTTGGTAGATGGTCTTAAGATAGCAGTGAGCAAGAGCTAAGAAGCTCTCGTGGCAGGATGATGATATCCCATGATTAGAATGTTGGGCTAGGCTCCAGGAATTTCATTGTCTAGAAGGGACTCCCATGCCTTTGAAGCTGGAATTATACTGGTGACCTGTTTCTTAGGTAACCTTTGGTAAACTAGGAGCAGGGACCTAACTTCCTAAGTGACTCTAGTGAAAAAAAATACTGGATCAGGCGCAGTGGCTCTTGCCTGTAATCCCAGCACTTTGGAGGCCAAAGCAGGAGGACTGCTTGAGGCCAAGTGTTTGAGACCAGCTTGGGCAACATATTGAGGACCCTGTCTCTACAAAAAATAAAAATAAAAATTAGCTGGGCATGGTGGTGTATGCCTGTAGTCCTAGCTACTTGGGAGGCTGAGGCAGGAGGGTCACTTGAGCACAGGAGTTCAAGCCCAGGAGTTTGAGGTTACAGCGAGCCACAATTATACCACCAGACTTCAGATTAAATGAGTATTTGTTAAAAAAAAAAAATACTGGAGAATTAGGAAGACTGAGCAGTCTGGAGACCTAGAGACTGAGGGCTTCAGGTGCCCTCTGAATGTCCTGTAGAAAAAGCAAGACCAGTGAAAGAGAGCATGAGGAAGACCCGCGAGGCCTTAACAGCACTCTTCAAGGGATCTGCTTTCTGTGGCTCCAGAGGGCATAGTAGTCAGGATCAATGGCTGGCTGCCTGCTTGTTGTAGATTTTATATGAGCGTTTCTATGACACAGAGAAGAGACAAAAGTGCCTGCCTGAGCCCATGGGGCATCCAGGCTGTCACAGAAAGGCAGGGACAGATCAGTCAGAACAGCAGTTACCCTCAGCAGTTACCACTACGTCAGCCTGTCTTAGCAATGATGGGCCACGCCTCTTCAGGGTTACCTTCAGAAACAAATGGCACTGTGAGCAAAAGACAAGTGAAAATGCTTCATAATGAGACTATCATTCTGGAACGCAAGATCCAGCCTGAAGTCATAATGTCAAATGCCACAGTTCGCAGATGAGCTCACTCCAAAGTTTAATTTTTATTTATTTATTGATACAGAGTTTCACACTTGTTGCCCAGGCTGGAGTGCAGTGGCACAATCTTGGCTCGCCGCAACCTCTCCCTCCTGGGTTCAAGTGATTCCCATGCCTCAGCCTCCCAAGTAGGTGGGACTACAGGCGTGCGCCTCCATGTCCGGCTAATTTTTTTGTAGTTTTTTGTAGAGATGTGATTTCACCATGTTGGCCAGGCTGGTCTTGAACTCCTGACCTTAAGTGATTAAGTGATCTCTGTGCCTTGGCCTCCCAAAGTGTTGGGATTATAGGTCACCACGCCTGGCCCCAAGGTTTGATTTTTTTTTTTTTGAGATGAAGTCTTGCTCTGTTGCCCAGGCTGGGGTGGTAAAGGGGTACGATCTTGGCTCACTGCAACCTCTGCCTCCTGGGTTCAAGCAATTCTCCTGCTTCAGCCTCCCAAGTAGCTGGGACTACAGGCACGTGCCACCACCCCAAGCTAATTTTTATATTTTTAGTAGAGATAGGGTTTGACCATTTTTAGTAGAGATAGGGTTTAGTAGAGATAGGCCAGGATGGTCTCGATCTCTTGACCACGTGATCTACCCACCTCCACCTCCCAAAGTCCTGGGATTACACGTGTGAGCCACCATGCCCGGCGTCCAAGGTTTGATTTTTAAAACTGCAGACTAGCTTGGTACAGAACCTCTCCCCCAGCAGGTTGGGGGCACATGGTTAGGCTAAATCCACTCACCTTAAATGTGACGTGTGTGTCTGAAAGGAGAGGGCCTTCAACCTCAATGATGGGTGTCGACTGGTCTCTGCTGATGACATGAATGCTCCCTCCTCCACTGGTGTCTATCCCATCTGCCAGGCTTGGAGAAGAGGAGCTGTCTGTAGTATTAAGTGCTTTAGCTAAGGTATCAAATGCCCTGTGAGCAAAAAATGAAGCATGGAAGTGTGGTGAATCTATAGCTTTTAGAGGGAACAGAATTCTAGCTAACATATGATTTAGAAAAACTACAATGGGAAAAGATAATTAAGTTCTACCTGGTGAGGGAAACACTAACAATGAAAGCTTCCTATTTATTTATTTATTTAGAGATAGCAGAGAGGCTGGAGTGCAGTAGCAGGATCTGGCTTCAAGCAATTCTCATGCCTCAGCCTTTTGAGTAGCTGAGACTACAAGGCACGTGCAACCACACCCAGCTATTTTTTTTTCATTTTTTTAAGAGACCGAGTCTTGTTCTGTCACCCAGGCTGGAGTGCGGTGATGGGATCTTGGCTCACTGCAACTTCCACATTCCAGGTTTAAGCGATTCTCCTGCCTTAGCCTCTCAAGTAACTGGGACTATAGGCACATGCCACCATGCCTGGCTTTTTTTTTTTTTTTTTTTTGTATTTTTAGTAGAGATGGGATGTCACTATGTTGGCCAGGCTGGTCTCAAACTCTTGACCACAGGTGATCCACCTGCCTTGGCTTCCCAAAGGGCCGGATTACAGGCGTTAAGTAAGCCCTGGCATTCGGGCAATTTTTTTGTATTTTTAGTAGAGATAGGGTTTCACTGTGTTGGCCAGGCTGGTCTAGAACTTCTGACCTCAAGAGATCCACCCACCTTGCCTCCCAAAGCGCTGGGATTACACAAGTAAGCCACTGTGCCTGGCAAACAATGAAAGCTCAATATATTATCTACACATCACCTTAGGTACTGAGCTATATATTACCTAACTTCATGGGCAATTTATATTTATTTATTTATTACTTACTTCTTCAAAGATGGGGTCTCACTACATTGACCCAGGCTGGTCTCAAACTCCTGGGATCGAGCAATCCTCTTGCCTCAGCTTCTCTAAGTGCTGGGATTATAGCCATAAGCCACTGCACCCAGGCCCAATTTCTATTTTTCACAAGTACCCTCCAAAAGTAAAAATTATCTTCCATTTTACAGATGTTAATGTTGACCTTAAGTTGTTAAACACCTTTTCCAAGATCATCCATACTAAGTGGCAGAACCAGAATTCTACCTAATTCAAATCCTACCCTCTTTCCACTGGATCTAGATATTATTTGTTATCAGACCACAGTGAACAAAGGACTGGAACACTTGTTAGTCTCCAGCTCTGTATGTGGCGGGTCTGGCATGTTAGGAGCAGAGCACAAGAGCCAAACTGCAGAGAAGAAACATCCTTAGCAGCAGTTATCAATGTCCGGCACCAGCTCATGCTATTTATCAGCCACTATCAATCCAGTTACCCTGGCAGATTTAAGCTCTGAATTCACTACTCAGAAACAAACATACATGAGGGCTGGGCGTGGTGGCACATGCCTGTAATCCCAGCACTTTGGGAGGCTGAGGTGGGAAGATCACTTGAGCCCAGGAGTTCTAGACCAGCCTGGGCAATATGGCAAGATCCCATCTCTATTTAAAAAGAAAAAGAAAAAGAAAAAGAAAAAATATAGATGAGAAAAACAGGTTGAAAGTAGGAAAGAGAATGAACTCTTAATATGCAGATGCATTATTAAACAGTAATTAATACAAATAACTGCTGTCCACTTAAACAGTTATCCTCATACTTCTACTGATTTACTCAATTTCCTTTTCCATGGTTTGGACTGTTTTATACTGTGTAACATTAAGTGGGTCTATGTTCCCATAGTTAAAATCTGAAAGAAGACAGATGTGCAGAGTCACTGTAACGATTTTTTCATCCTTGGTTAAATACAGCATAGGTAGCAAAATGCTGTTTTCCTCCTTATATTCCAGGAGCGGGGCCTCTACCCTCATAGTCTCATACCGAGTAATCTCACTTGCAGACTGGTCCTCTGGTTGGATTTCTGAAGTGTCACCGTTGTTCAAGGATTCACTTAGGTTGGCAAGGGAGGTCACTACATTTGCCAGTGTGCCCAGAGCTCCCTGGCTTGTTTCAGCCTGTTAAACAAAAAATAAAATACTAGCATTAAAAATAAACACACATATGCAAATTACTCTCAGGCCAACGAAGTTATAATGTTGGTTCAAAAATCGCTTCGAGGGGAGTGTGACTACAAAGGGGCAACATGAGGAAGATCTTTTTGGTGATATAACAGTTCTGTATCTTGGTGTGGTGGTATTTACACAAATCTATATATGTGACAAAATGACAGAAGAAAAACAGACAAACTAAACTTCACTAAAATTAAACCTGTTGTGCTTCAAAAGAAATTGTCAAGACACAAAACAAAACAAAAGGACAACTCACAGAATGAGAGAAAATATTTGCAAATCATATGTCTAATGGTTTAAGTAGCCAGAATTTTTTTTTTTTTTTTTTTTTTTTTGAGATGGAGTTTCACTCTTGCTACCCAGGCTAGAGTGCAATGGTGCGATATTGGCTCACTGCAACCTCCGCCTCCTGGGTTCAGGCAATTCTCCTGCCTCAGCCTCCTGCGTAGCTGGGATTACAGGCATGTGCCACCATGCCCAGCTAATTTTTTGTATTTTTTGTATTTTTTTGTATTTTTTTTTTTTGAGACGGAGTTTTGCTCTTGTTACCCAGGCTGGAGTGCAATGGCGTGATCTCAGCTCACCGCAACCTCCGCCTCCTGGGTTCAGGCAATTCTCCTGCCTCAGCCTCCTGAGTAGCTGGGATTACAGGCACGTGCCACCATGCCCAGCTAATGTTTTGTATTTTTAGTGGAGACGGGGTTTCACCATGTTGACCAGGATGGTCTCGATCTCTCGACCTCGTGATCCACCCGCCTCGGCCTCCCAAAGTGCTGGGATTACAGGCTTGAGCCACCGCGCCCGGCCCAATTTTTTGTATTTTTAGTAGAGACGGGGTTTCACCATGTTGACCAGGATGGTCTCGATCTCTTGACCTCGTGATCCACCCGTCTCAGCCTCCCAAAGTGCTGGGATTACAGGCTTGAGCCACCGCACCCGGCCTAGTAGCCAGAATTTCTAAGGAACTCTAACAATAATAAAAAGACAAATAACCCAATTTAAAAATGGAAAACGAGGCTGGGCACAGTGGCTCACAGCTGTAATCCCAGCACTCTGGGAGGCTGAGGTAGGTGGATCACCTGAGGTCAAGAGTTCAAGACCAGCCTGGTGAACACGGTGAAACCCTATCTCTACTAAAAATACAAATATTAGCACAGCATGATGGTGGGTACCTGAAACCCCAGGTACTTGGGAGGCTGAGACAGGAGAATCACTTGAATCCAGGAGGTGGAGGTTGCAGTGAGCCAAGATCATACCACCACACTCCAGCCTGGGCGACAGAGATTCCATCTCTAATTTTAAAAAATTGAAAAAATAAAAAAATAAAAAAAGGAGAAAGGGGGAAGAGCACTTTACGAGGCTGAAGCAGAAGACCACTTGAGCCCAAGAGTTCGAGACCAGCCTGAGCAACATGGCAAGGCCCTGTCTCCTACAAAAAGTAAAAAAAATTAGCCAGGCATGGTCGTGTGCGCCTGTGGTCCCAGCTACTGAGGAAGCTGAAGTGGGTCACTTGAACTCAGAAAGTCAAGGCTGCACTGAGCCATGACTGTGCCACTGCACTCCAACCTAGCAGGCAGACAGAGACCCTGTCTTAAAAACAAAACAAAACAAAACAAAGCAACGACAAAAACCCGAAGACAACAGACATCTCTCCAAAGAATATATATAAACAGGCCATAAGCATATGAAAAGATGCTCCACATCGTGGGAAATGCAAATGAAAATCACAATAACATACTACTTCACATCCACTGGGATGGCTATAATCAGAAAGATGGACAATAACAAGTGTTGGCAAGGTTGTGGAGAAATCAGAACTTTCATACACAGCTGGTGAGAATGTAAAGTAGTACAACACAAATGTCCATCAATTCACTAATGGATAAATACAATGTGGTATAGTCATACAAAGATATATTATTAGGCTGGGCCCAGTGGCTCACGCCTGTAATCCCAGCACTTTGGGAGGCCAGGTGGGTAAAATCACCTGAGGTCAGGAGTTTGAGCCCAGCCTAACCAACATGGTGAAACCTTGTCTCTACTAAAAACACAAAATTGGCTGGCTGTGGTGGGTCATGCCTGTAATCCTAGTACTTTGGGAGGCCGAGGTGGGTAGATCATGAGGTCCGGAGTTTGAGACCAGGCTGATCAACATGGTGAAACCCTGTCTCTACTAAAAATACAAAAATTAGCCAGGGGTGGTGGCACACGCCTGTAATCTCAGCTACTCAGAAGGTTGAGGCAGAAGACTCGCTTGAACCTGGGAGGCAGAGGTTGCAGTGAGCTGAGATTGTGCTATTACATTCCAGCCTGGGTGACAGAGCAAGACTCTGTCACAAAACAATACGCACAAAATTAGCTGGGTGTGGTAGCACATGCCTGTAATCCCAGCTACTTGAAAGGCTGAGGCAGGAGAATCGTTTGAACCTGGGAGGTGGAGGTTGCAATGAGCCGAGGTCGTACCACTGCACTCCGGCCAGGTAAAGAGCAAAACTCCACCTTAAAAAAAGATGTATTATTTGGCAATAAAAAGGAATTAAGTACTGATACATGCTACACCATGATGACCCTTAAAAACATTATGCTGAGTGAAACTCCAGTCACAAAAGACCATATACTGTATGACTTCCTTCATACAAAATGTACAGAGTTGACAAAACCATCAAGCCAGAAAGCAGATGAGTGGTTGGTAGGTTTGAGAAGAGTGGAGAAGGAGGGGTGACTACATAGTAGGATTCAGGGTTTCTTCTGAGGTGATGAAAATATTCTAAAATTATGTAGTGGGGATGGTTGTACAACCTTGTAAGTATACTAAAAACCACTACATTATACATTAAAAGGGTGAGTATTATGGTATGCGAGTTATATTTCAATTAAAAAAGAAAGCCGGGGGCAATGGCTTATGCCTGTAATCCCAGCACTTTGGGAGGCTGAGATGGGTGAACTGCTTGCGTCCAGGAGTTCAAGACTAGACTGGGCAACATGGCGAAACCCCGTCTTTACAAAGAAATACAAAAAACTAGCCAGGTGTGGTCGTGTGCACCTACAGTCACAGCTACTCAGGAGGCTGAGGTGAGAAGATCACTTGACCCTGGGAGGTGGAGGTTGCTATGAGCCAAAATCACACCATTGTACTCCAGCTTGGGCAACAGAGCAAGACATTGTCTTAGAAAAGAAAGCCCGAGATACACTCAAACCAAGATAAGAAGATAATGTATACACAATGTTGTGTCTTGATTATAAAAGTGAAAACCTAGGATCAATAGAAAAGGTCATAAACAGAAATGATTAATAAATCACAACAGAGACACAGAATATTGTGCAACTGCTGTTAAAATCCTCATAATAGAAAGGTATATTGAAGGAAATGAAGTTGAACAAGAATGAAATATAAAAAAGACATAAAAGAATACATATGATTTGTACCAAAGCCAGCGTCCTGGTTGTGATACTGTATGCTAGGTCTGTATGTATGACATAACCAATGGGAGGACCCGGGTGAAGGCTAAGTGGGAGCTCTGTAATAGCTCTGTACTTCCTTCATTGTAAATTACTTTAAATGTATAAATATTTCAAAGAAAAATTGGAAAACAATTTCTGAAAGGAGCTTCCTTTAGGCGCTTTGCATATGTTTTATTAGTCATATCAAACTTGTGGGGGTTACTGTTGTTTCCATTGTACGCAGGAGGGAATGGGGTAGGACACAAGTCTGCCTCTGAAGCTCTCTCGATTCCTGAAGTACCATACAGGTCTGCGTTCATTCTCCTCCAAAGTGATGATAACTAATTCCTAACCGTTAACGTTTATTGAATTCTCACTGTGTACCGAGAAATAGCGCAGGAAAGAAACAACTGGGTACCAAGAACAGTGCCAGACTCTGAGACTCCAGGTCAAGCCAGCTCTGGAGTCTTGGTTCTCATTCCCAGTCTCTGTGAGGATGGCCCAACAGAATGGCTGCTATGAATCTGTTTTTAAGGTTATCTGGGCCTTATTTTCAGGTTTACGCTTTCTTTGCATTTGACTATACAGTCAGAGCCACTGTTCCAGAATGAGTGCTGGTGATAACCTAAACCCACATGATCCATGATGCATGTGGCCCCTGCCCAAAACAGGAGGTGCAGAAAGCCCACCCGGAGGACCACAGCATGCAGGGCGGCTCTCCATGACAGGCAAGGGCTCTAAATTTTGTCTTCTCTTTCCCAAAAGAGGATGACCTGTAATGCCTAGTGCACCCATAAATGAGAATGTGAACAGATGAGAAGGAAGCCTGCAGGCTTTGCTCTGGTTCTAACAGTCAAAGCAATGCCAGTGTTCTCAATTGCTAAGTCACCGTCTTTAGAGTTGAGGTTTGCTGCTACTACTTCCTTACTTGGTTTACATTGGGAGTACCACAATGAGAAAAACAGTGAGTTCTGTGAAAATATCTTCACAGGAGCCAGCCAGTCTCTCCCTTTTGGACTGACAAACATCTCTGTCCACAAGTTAAATCCCTATGACTAATTTGAAACTGTCAGACTCCAGGTTGAACTTGCTCCTGAAGATCATCTAATAAAAAGGAACCCGGGGCTTTTGCAAAAAGGCCATCTTAGCATAAGTAGCTCTTTGCTTGGTATGCCAGTAGTTTGCCAATGTGTATAAGAGAAAAAGAAAACTATAAAAGAAAAGAAAACCACAGAATATCCACTAAATTGACGTCTAGACTGACATGTTACAGTCACTATGAACAGCCAGCTCTGACTGAGGTTTCTGAAAAGACACTGGCATCTCTAAAACAAATCCCAATATAGCTATTGCAACAAGAAGGAGACTGTGATGCAGGTCACACTTTTGATGTGGTCTCTGAAGGCCAGAAAGAAGGTGGTGCACATAGGGCAGCAGCCTATAATGTCAGCATAAAGGATGAGAGAAAGAAGCATGAGTAGAGAATGTCACCTTAGAATCCGTGGCCAGGAGAACTGTACCATCTTCACGTATCAAAGGCTGCTGGATATTCACAAGCATCCCTGGATCAAGAAGACCTGTTTGTCTATTTAAGACATAAAGAAACCCAGAGTAGCTTCCAACATTTTATGCACAGTATGATCATGCTGCATTTACCTGTCCCTCCACATTTGTGGAGCTGTCTGAATAGCAGAAAAGCTCTAACTAGACTCGGCTGCTTAGTGACTAAACAATCCCCCCACCTGTCTGCAATGAGATGTACATAAAGTCAGATTTACAGCTTGAGACAGGATGAAATGCAGATGCTTTCCCCAGGGCTTTTCAGGGTGACTGCAGACTGTGGCCATTCTGCCAAGAAAAGTTAGCTTGATTTTCAGAAAATCAGCAAGGAATTCTCAACTCTCTGATACATTTTGGATTTCTTGTTTTCCCCTCTTTCTGTACCTTTTAAAGTAAGTTCAATACGTTACATTAGAAAGAATGTACAAATTAACTGTAGCACTGAGACCTTATCTCACCTTAGGCCTTTTGTCTATACTGCAGAAAAGCCCCAATCTTGAATTATAAAATAATTGTCTTCCTGAATGAATGATGCCTAAATTACAGGACATAATCTGAATTCAAGGCTCGGCGAAGTTCTGATTCCATCGTAAATCAGACATCCTCAGGCCTGTCCAGAGGTATGACTGGTGATTGAGCAGCTCCAGAAGGGGCAAGATTAAGCAATACAAGGCTGGAGGCTGTGGCATGTGGGTGGGAAGCAACATCAGTGACCATTCCGGGGCATGTCTGTGCCTCCTCCATCAACTGCAAAGGATGACTGCAGTGAGAACAAGGGACTGACCTTGCTCCATCTTTGTCTGCCACAAACGTGGGAGTGGCTATCAGGGGACTTCTCAGGTCCTTCCGGATATAGATTTTCTCCGTCGAAGCAGCACAATTGCTTGGTTTCTCCCGCTGCACATCGAAGGGCTTCCGTTCACTCTGTACAGCTTAAATCACAACATAAATATTTGTGTTTAGAGAAACAATTTGAATCAATAAAAACCACATCCTTTGTGGTAAAGCAAGGGGTTTTCTTTATAGTAAATCTGTTACTGCAGGGAGGATAAACTTTGGTGCTAGATTCATCTAGCTCAGCTTCAAAGTGAACTTTTCGGAGAAAAGGAATCAAGCCAAACTATGCCATGTCAAATCTAGAGGCATAAAAAAGAGCTCATGATGGGTGGTACTCCCTGCTAAGAAACTGCGGCACAGTACCTATGTGGCCTGTGGAAGCACCCATGAGGCCTCTGGGCCATTTTATTAATTTTATGTTATTTAGTTACTTTTCAGTTTTTTTGTAGAGATGAAGCCTCATTACGTTGCCCAGTCTGGACTCAAACTCCTGGGCTCAACCAATCCACTGGCCCCAGTCTGCCAAAGTGCTGAAATTATGGCATGAGCCAAAGTGCCCAGCTTGTCTTTACTTCATGCTCCTAACAAAACAGACCCTTCCAAGGATTAAGAAATGTCCATCTTTGGGCTGGGCATGGTGGCTCATGCCTGTAATCCTAGCACTTTGGGAGGCTGAGCCGGGTGGATCACTTGAGGCTAGAAGTTCGAGACCAGCCTGGCCAACATGGCAAAACTGTCTCTACTAAAAATAGAAAACTTAACCGAGTGTGGTGGTGGGCACCTGTTAATTCCAGCTACTCAGGAGGCTGAGGCAGAAAGAATTGCTTGAACCTGGGAGGTGTAGGCTGCAGTGAGCCAAGATTACGGTGCCAATGCACTCCAGCCTGGGTGACAGAGCAAGACTCCATCTCAAAAAAAAAAAAAAAAAAAAAAAGCCCATCTTCAAGTGGGCCCTTAATGTGTGCTTTTCCTATGGCACAATTTGTAGAGGAACCCTTCTAATTTCCAACTCAAGTCTGAATAGCTTCTGCAAACTGTTTAATGGGTGTCAATTTTATATCATGCTAGCAAACTCTCCTTTTAGCAATCTAGTATAAGAGCAGATCTACGCATGTCAGAAACTGAAGAAAATGAAAGCTTTTTAAAGACAGAAGCAATGAAGGCCAGGGACTAGCATTTAGGTATGCCGCTAATCAAACTGCTATCCAGTTGGATCTTGCATTTGCAGCTATAGCTGTGATCACAAAAAAACTGATTTCAGTCATTGCTCTGAGTAAAAAAGCCAATGATTTATTTATTCACTTTAGGGAAAGAACAATATCACTAAAGTAAAAGCATCATACCAGGCAGAAATTAGGTTGATATTTCTAATTTTTCAAAAAGTACATTTCCATTTATTCTCCAGTGAATTTTGCAGATTCCTATTCCCAGAAATGCCCTCACCAATACTGAAATCTATCAGTTTTCAGTGTTCCTAGGGAACTATGCAGAAGATGACAGAATCACGCAGCATACTCAGCAGAAGCCTGTAGTCCTGAGTCCATGGCCACCAGCCTTGCCAGGCTAAGTTGCATGCCTTGCCTTTGCTAAGCTCCATTTTTCTACTGTGGTTTGAGCCTAACTCCACTCTCCTTGGATTTCTATGTGCTGCCCATCTTGGATCCTGGTCTTCATGTTTTCACCACTACCTAGGGAAGTGACCTCCATCCGAATGGACCCTATAGACAGGGATCTGGTTTTGATATTCCTAACCCCAAAAATTCTGGCTACAGGAGTGGAAAGGAGGGACTTGAGACCCTGGATGCCCCACACATCCAGAAGCAATAGCTTTCTCTTTAGAACCCCAGCTACACAGAGACTTGGCAGAAAGCCTTGTGCTGAAACCAAGTACAGGGGCTAAGAAGACAGTAAGTAACAGTAGGCTCATGTAATCTTCAGGAGCAATATATAAGTAAGGTGAGGGGCTCTAGATCACAGATCAGGACCCTGTGGCTGAGAGGCTATGTGTGTCCTCAAATTCATAGCTGTCTCTTACTGGCAGACCTGGTAGTGTTGGTATCGGCTTTCCTCCAAAGCCTGTGTTCACCCTACTCCACTAAGCTGCCTCCTGATGCATCTGGAATAAGGCTTTCCTCACACACACCAGGAGAACAGACCAACCCCCACAGCATTGACTCTGAATCACCTAGTTGACCCATGAGGTAAACCAAAATAAAGTCTGACGGGTATTTTTTTCTTAAAGTATCTTAAGGCCAGGTATAGAAACTGTATTTAATGGACTCTTGTTTTTACTCTCTCCCTCCGTTGTTAACTCGTGGATTTTAAATACTGTTACTCACATTCCATTTTCATGCCCATCTCCAAGCATTTTTTCAGCCGGCAAAACTGACAGCGGTTCCGGTGATGTTTATTGATGATGCAGTCTTGGTTGCTCCGGCAACTGTAGGTCAGATTTTTCCTCACACTCCTTTTGAAGAAACCTTTGCAACCTTCACAACTGACAGCCCCATAGTGACGGCCTGAAACAGGAGAAATACACAAATATTTTGTGACTATATTTGTGCATTCACCGAAGGAGTGATCTGTCACAGTTCCTGAACAAGTCTTATGAAAGTCATGGGAGCATATACTGTTAGATGCCATGTGACCTGAGCATTTAGCATACTGGCCACACCCTTCACATAATTTCTCTACAATCTTTCAAGTAGACTTGTGAGTTTATGATGGAAATACTGAAGCTCAGACAGGTTATATGGCATCTGGCAGATAGCATGACTTTAGTGCTCTTAGTATACAAATGGTCTAACATACATCAGGAGCTCACAGGTGATGGCTGACCTCTACTGTCCGCTTGAACACACCTGGGTCCTAATCCTGGAGGTCTGGGCTTGTGAAGTGGCTTAGGTCCCCTGTCCTGCCAACAGTGGCACATAGCAGACATATGCATGTGTGGCTTTGGTACAGAGGGTCTCACTCCTGCATTTAACCCCTCTGATTCACATCCTGGTCTCTAAACCTCCTTTGGGAAGTGAGATAGTCACAAGAAGACGCATGGGGACTGTGACTGCTAAAGCCCACAGTAAAGGAGGGTTACCATATGATGGCTCTCCTGGGTTAGCTTACTCAGAGTGTTCAAGAAATACAGTTGTAGGAATATATTTATTAAACACCTAATCTTGTTTACTTTGGTGTCTCTAATTTTTTATTTTTGATACACTGTAATTGTTCATATTTATGAGGTATAATTCAATGTTTCCATACATCCACATGTTGTATAATGATCAAATCAGGTAGAGTGACCATCACCTTATGCATTTATCATTTCTTTGCAGACATTCAAAAGCCTTTCTTCTAGATATTTTATAATATATAATACCTTATTGTTAGCCATGGCTGCAGTGCAATAGAACACCAGAACTTGTTCCTACTACTTAACTGTAAGTTTGTAGCAGCTGGTCAGTCTTTCCCAACCATCTCTCACTTTTTCCCTCCCCAGTCTTGGTAACCATTGTTCTACTTTCTGTTTCTATGGTATTAATTTTTTTTTTTTTTAGGATTCCACATATGAATGAGATCATGTAGTATCTGTCTTTGGCTTATTTCACTTAACATGGTATCCTCCTCCACGTTCATCCATGTTGTCACAAATAGCCAGATTTCATTCAATTTTATGTATTCCACTGTGTATACATACCACATGTTCTTTATCCATTCATCTGCTGTTGGATACTTAGGCTCATTACATATCTTGGCCATTGTAAATAGTGATGCAATAAATGTGGGAGTGCAGGTATTTCTTCAACATAATGATTTTAGTTCCTTTGGATATAGATCCAGTAGTGAATTTCTGGATCATATGGTAGTTCCATTTTTAATTTTTGAATAACCTCCATACAGTTTTCTATAGTGTACTAATTTACAATCCCACTGACAATGTTTAAGTGTTCTCTTTTCTCCACATCCTCCCTAGCACTTCTTTTTGTTTGTCTTTTTAATTGTAAACATTTTTTTTTTTTTTATTTTGAGACAAGAGTCTCAGTCACTCAGATTGGACTGCAGTGACGTGATCTTGGCTTGCTGCAACCTCTTCCTGGGTTCAAGCGACTGTCGTGCCTCAGCCTCTGGAGTAGCTGGGATTATAGATGTGTGCCACCACACTCAGCTAATTTTTGTATTTTTTTTTTTTTTTTTTTGAGACGGAGTTTCGCTCGTTACCCAGGCTGGAGTGCAATGGCACAATCTGGGCTCACTGCAACCTCCGCCTCCTGGGTTCAGGCAATTCTCCTGCCTCAGCCTCCTGAGTAGCTGGGATTACAGGCATGCGCCACCATGCCCAGCTAATTTTTTGTATTTTTAGTAGAGACGGGGTTTCACGATGTTGACCGGGCTGGTCTCGATCTCTCGACCTCGTGATCCACCTGCCTCAGCCTCCCAAAGTGTTGGGATTACAGGCTTGAGCCACCGCGCTCGGCCCTAATTTTTGTATTTTTATATGATTTTTTTTTTGCAATGGCGCAATCTCAGCTCACCGCAACCTCTGCCTCCTGGGTTCAGGCAATTCTCCTGCCTCGGCCTCCTGAGTAGCTGGGATTACAGGCACGTGCCACCATGCCCAGCTAATTTTTTTTTAATTTTTAGTAGAGACGGGGTTTTACCACGTTGACCAGGATGGTCTCGATCTCTTGACCTCGTGATCCACCCGCCTCGGCCTCCCAAAGTGCTAGGATTATAGGCGTGAGCCACCGCGCCGGGCTCTTACATGATTTTATCAAATAAAGTCTTATACTTTTTTCCTTACACTGGCCACACCCTTCACATAATTTCTCTACAAGAAATTTTTTAAGATTTTATAAAATATAAAATCTGGGCTGGGCGTGGTGGCTCAAGCCTGTAATCCCAGCACTTTGGGAGGTCCAGGCAGGTGGATCACGAGGTCGAGAGATCGAGACCATCCTGGTCAACATGGTGAAACCCTGTCTCTACTAAAAATACAAAAAATTAGCTGGACATGGTGGTGCGTGCCTGTAATCCCAGCTACTCAGGAGGCTGAGGCAGGAGAATTGCCTGAACCCGGGAGGCGGAGGTTGCGGTGAGCCGAGATCGCGCCATTGCACTCCAGCCGGAGTAACAAGAGCAAAACTCCGTCTCAAAAAAAAAAAAAAAAAAAAAAATATATATATATATATATATATATATATATTTTATTTTTTAAGACGGAGTCTTGCTCTTGTCGCCCAGGCTGAAGTGCAGTGGTGCAATCTCGGCTTATTGCAACCTTTGCCTCCCGGGTTCAAGTGATTCTCCTGCCACTACAGGCACCTGCCACTATATTCAGCTAATTTTCGTATTTTTAGTAGAGATGTTGGCTAGGCTGGTCTCAAACTCCTGACCTCAGTTGATTGCCTGCCTCAGCCTCCCAAAGTGCTGGGATTATAGACGTGAGCCACTGCACCCTGCCAAAAGATACTATTTTATAAAAATACAAAAATTAGTAGAGATGGGGTTTTGCCACATTGTCCAGGTTGGTCTCAAACTCCTGGCCTCATGTGATCTGCCCGCCTCGGCCTGCCAAAGTTCTGGAATTATAGGGATGAGCCACCAAGCCTAGACTGATTATAGATATCCTAATTGGAGTGAGGTGGTACCTCACTCCAATTTGCATTTCCTTGAGGATTAGTGATGTTGAACATTTTTTCATATAACAATTGGCCATTTGTATATCTTATTTTGAGAAATGTCTATTAAGATATTTTGCCCATTTTTAAATTTTTTTTTTTTGCTGTTAAGTTCCTTATATATTCTGGATATTAACCCCTTGTCATGTGTACAGTCTGCATGGTATCTCCAACTTTTAACTATCAATGACATTAAAAAGTACCACCAGCTGGGTGCAGTGGTTCATGCCTATAATCCCAGCACTCTGGGAGGCCAAGGTGGGCAGATCACAAGGTCAGGAGTTTGAGACCAGCCTGGCCAATATGGTGAAACCCTGTCTCTACTAAAACTACAAAAATTAGCCAGGCATGGTGGTAGGCGCCTGTAGTCCCAGCTACTCGGGAGGCTAAGGCAGGAGAATCATTTGAACCCAGGAGGTGAAGGCTGCAGTAAGTTGAAATTGTGCCACTGCACTCCAGCCTGGGTGACAGAGTGAGACTCTGTCTCAAACAAACAACAAAAAAAGTGCCCCCACCTTCAGTTTAGTTTTGCTATTCAGAAAGTACTTTCACATACATTATTTCTCATTTGTTTCCAGCTGAGACTGACCCCGGACATGCTCTTTTGATTCTGTCTTGTTTGTATAATCCAATTTCATAGCTACATTGCCAAGGAGGATACATGTCACAGGATTACCATTTACGGTGGCCACAGAGAATTCCATTGTTCTAAGCTCTAGTATGCAAAACCATTTTCCAAGTGTGCAATTGGAGTAACAGTCTTATTATTTTAAGAATAGTTGTGGTAAAGTGCCTTCTGTAATATTGTTTTTTTCTTTCTTTGCAGTGTATTTCCTTGAGTTCTCTATCCCTTTGAGTGACATTAATTATCAGGAGACTGGCACCAAGACCCTGTGACTAGGCCTTTCCTTTAAGCTAAGAAGAAGACTGACAAATGGGGAAGTCAAGCAGATTCTGTGGCCCTTTTGTTATGTTCATGCTTCATTTATTTGTTCAAAACTTTGCAGAGTGCCTTTCCTTGCTGAGTAAGAAGACAGGAATACAGAGATAGATGGTAAGACATGGTTTTTGCTCTGACATTCTGATAGGGAAGACAGGCCTCTAAAGAGTGAATTATATGAGTATGCAACAAGTGATTAGAGAAATCTGTAGGAAAGGGAAATCTGAATCAGAGGCTGCACTGTCTATCTGCCTACTAGGGTAGGTGAGGGCTTCAGAGAAGGGGTAGGATGGGCTGGGTTTACCAAGACAAAGGGTGGGAACAGAGGCAGGCACCACTGGCAGAAAAATGGTGTCACCACCACGTGGAAGGGAAATTGGAGCTTCTGATCTTCTATAGATGCTTGCCTGGGACTGTCTTACTAATAGGCTTGGTCCAATCTCCTTTTTAAAAAACAAAACAGAAGCAAACAAAAAACTAGGACTAAAAAGTGTCCAACATTCCTGTGAATTTTGTGACCAGAGAATAAAGTGGAACCAAATAGCCATAGAACACACACCTGTGCCCTGATACTGTGTTCTTATCAAATACTTCTCCATTCCTTCCTGTCTGCCTCACTAACCTTCTATGGATCCCCACCTAGTATAAGCAGGCCAACACTTGAATTTTTGGGCCAGGTGTCTTCTTCAGTCTTACTTTACCCAATTGTAATCACAGAACCCTACAAGGTCTCTCCCAAGGACACCATGGATATAAACCTTAAACTCTAGGCCCTGTTTCTACTAGCTGAAATGCCCTCCTCCTGCTTCAACCACTGTGTACATAATCACTAAGGCTCCCAGATGTGACAGCCTCTGTGGGGCCTTTCCTGGTCCTGAGATTCTAGCTGGAATCACATGCCTCCTCCTGCTTCATTACAGCAGTATTTATAGTGGGTTATAGTGAGGGGACGACAGAGATAGTTACAGTTAGGATGAAGGGTGATTATACAAATTATGTATCTTGTAAAATAGCAAACTGCTGTACAAATGTTAATGAGATTAAAGAATATGTTCTTAGCAGCACATACATACTACACACTCAACCAAGATTTACAAATCATAGAAATTATTTCTTGACTTTTCCTTTTGATGTCTAATTATCTGACAAACTGCCTTATTTATTTACATCATTACCCCAGTAAGAACAGTGGAATTTATATTTCAAACCTACAAACCTACAGAAAATGATCTTTCTAAATTAACTACCACCCCACCTCACAACTGTTACTTCATGTTATTGGCCCATGGTAAGTGCCATCATAACCCGGAATTACATACCGGAGGCTTTGTCGCCACAGACCACACAGTACTCTACCACCTGGGGCCGCTGGACGTCCGTCTTCCCCAGTAAACGCTCCACAGAGGCAGAATCCGTGACAATCTGAGAGAAACCAGAAAATAAAGGGGGGTGCCAATTAAAAACCAGATCACTGCCGGATGTGGTGGCTCATGCCCGTAATCCCCAGCACTTTGGGAGGCTGAGGTGGATGGATCACCTGAGGTTGGGAGTTCAAGACTAGCCTGACTAACACGGTAAAACACCGTCTCCACTAAAAATACAAAATTAGCTGGGTGTGGTGGCATGCGCCTGTAATCCCAGCTATTTGGGAGGCTGAGGCAGGAGAACCACTTGAACCTGGGAGGTAGAGGTTGCAGTGAGCCAAGATTGCATCATTGTACTCCAGCTTGAGCCACAACGTGAGACCTCGTCTCAAAAAAAACAAAAAAACCAGATCACTAAGCAAAGTGATGTTTAATTATAAATTCTTTCACAGACAAGGAGTACTCTAAAGAAGGAGGAAGGAATTCTGATTGCAGATTATCACAATGTACTCTGGGAAAGGAAGGATGAGACAGTATTTACTAAGCGCAGTGTAAGGTGTCTAAAAGAACAGATCTAAAAGCTGAACATATTAAAAAATTCTTCCCTTCCTTAAGTTTCTTCATAGAACATCCCCACCCAAAACAGATTCTTAGTGGCATTAATTCAATAGCCAAAATGTGGAAGCAACTTACATGTCCACCAACAGATGATGAAGAGATAAAAAAAACGTGGTCTATATATACAGTGGAGCCTTTAAAAGCGATGAAAGGCTGCACTGTATATATAGACCAGCCTTTAAAAGGGATGAAATTCTGACACATGCTACAACATGGATGAAGCTTCACCTTTATGCTGGGTGAAACAAACCAGCCACAAAAAGGCTGATTTCACTTATATGAGGTACCCAGAGTAGTCAAATTCATGAAGGCAGAAAGCAGAATGGTGGTTACCAGGGGCTGGAGGAGGGGGAGAGGTACTGTTTAATGAGTACAGAGTTTCAGCTTAGGAAGATAAAAAGAGTTACAGAGCTGGATAATGGCACAACAATGTCAATCTACTTAATGTCACGAAACTGTACACCTAAAGTTGGTTAAGATGGTAAGTTTTATGTTATGCACATTTTATGAAAAATGAAAAAAAAAATTAAACACAACCCTGACAAAGCATGTTCCGTGTTTGGCCATCATGGGATACTGACCTTGAGTCTCTGTTCTCTAGGTGTTGGGTATGGAGATTCTATGCTTCCCAGCCTCATGCTGAGAAACAACCCTGCTTTCCTTCAATGCTTGTTGTTTTCCTTGATACAGACTGTCCTCAACCCCATCCTACCTTGACAGAGCAGAAAGAACCAGGGCAGAGATAGAGAGAAGAATTCAGGGTCCCAGAGAAATTAGTACAGAGTGGCACGTAAAGACAGAATGAAAAGCTGGCACCACAGACCTGATGATCTGGACAAGTCAGTTCTTCGCTGGCTGTAGTCAGCCCTAGGTGGTACCTTTAAAATATCAGGGGCTGCCACTTGATGGCCTTAGGTAAGACAAATTCTCCAGTGGCCTCAGTGCCAGCTTTCTCAAGCTAGTCTCCTGTGGCCACTGATTTCCTGGTTGTACTTCCATCCTGAGTGTTACAGTTCACTGTCTTCTGGGCCTTGCCACTGGTTTGTTGGTTTATTACTCTGGCCGAAGCAGCAACTTGCCATGTTTGCAGGTCCCCACAGAACCTTCCACGGATAGATTTGGCTTCCAAAGCAGATGTAAGAACAAGTTCAACAGCAGAAATGCTGAAACAAATACCTGTTCAAAGGCCTTACCTGGATCCTGCCAGGGACGAGGTTGTCTGAGGTGGTGAATATGAGTTGCTTGGCACTGGATGTCTCTGGGGAAGCCAGGATCACCTTCCCAGTTCCAGCTCCATCTGGGCTGGTCAGGATGAACTGCTGTTTGGGGGATCCAGAGGCGTCCACTGCGGTGACTATCTGGATCTTCTGTCCTGTCTGCTGGTCTGTGACAATCTGTAAGACACAACATGGAGGCTGCTCTCATGGTGTGTCACAGACTCATGCATTTGCAGGTGATGCTCAAAGTGGCGACTGCCAAACACCAGCCCTTGAATTAATGCTGTCTAACATGCAGTTTCACCAATTCATGGTGAACTGAGAAAAACAAAACATAATAGTGAGCGTTTCAGAAACAAATTTTTATAAAGTGAATTTTAGTCTAGGACTATATCTTTTCCATTGTTTGTAGAATTAAAATGCCTTTTCTTTTATGAAATGAAGGCAATAATAAGTAGTAGATGATAGGTTTAACTTTTTGAAAAGTCCTTGTATTCACTTAATAAAAAATGTAGGCAATCCTCATTCTTTTGAAATGCTACTGATCTGCAAAATCCAAAAACCTGGAAATGATTGCTTCAAAGATGGCCTCTTTCGAAAAGGTCCTGTAAATAATACTGCCTTAAGTTGAGAGAATTAGAGGGAGACCGTTGCTGAAACACACTCAACTCACCTACCTCCTTCACTCCCACTTTCTGACTCTGAGGTCTTTAAGAATAGCGACTACATCTGATTCACTGCTACATCCCCAGGGCCAGCACAAGGGCCAGCACGTGGAAAGAAGACAATAAAAGACTATAGGATGCTGACCCTTATTCCTCTGGGAGTTCTCACTCATCAAAAGCCTTGCTCTTCACACAGTCCTTGTCTAATTTCATCAGTCGCCACAAATAATAGTTGCTATGACAAGAATGACTCTCTTATTCTTGCTCATGAAGTTCTTTGAAGTTGTTCTAATCCCCATCTTGCCTCTCTCCTAGGACAGGTGTTCCTGGCTTGCAGCACTGCCACCTCTCCCTCAAGAAACCAGCAGACCCTTACTGCAGAGGACTCTTGAGCTGCTGCTGCTGCTGTGCTGGGCGAGAGGAAACGTGCTATGTTGCTGGCTGGAACTCAGTTTCCTACAGCACAGCACAGCACATTTATGGGCAGATCTAGCATCTGTACCACCTCTTGACAGACTTTTGAAATGGAACTCTGGCCAAGCATGGTGGCTTATGCCTGTAATCCCAGCACTTTGTGAGGCTGAGGTGGGAGGATCACCTGAGGTCATGAGCTCAAGACCAGCATGGTCAACACGGTAAAACTCCGTCTTTACTAAAAATACAAAAATTAGCTGGGCGTAGTGGTGGTTGCCTATAGTCCCAGCTACTAGGGAGGCTGAGGCTGGACAATCGCTTGAACCCGGGAGGTGGAGGTTGCAGTGAGCCGCTATCTCACCACTGCACTCCAGCCTGAGCAACAAGAGGGAAACTCCACCTCAAAAAGAAAAAAAAAAAAAAAAAAAAAGAAATGGAACTCCAAGGCTGAGACAACAAACTCATAGTCTAACACAATAGTTTTGCTAATTGCAATATGGAAAGTAAGACAGTGTTGACTGGCTCAAAATAAAATGACACAGGCAAGAAAAGATTCAATCACTTAAATGTTTACTGAGCACCCACTATGAGTCAAGCACTGTTCTAGGTACTAGGAATAGGGACGTGAACAAAAAAAAAGGTCCCACCCTCATGAAACTAAACTTCTAGTGGGGGAAACAGATTGTGAACACTGAATATGAATAAAGAATATCAGTCAGTGTAAATGCCCTGGAGAAAACAAAAATAATCATCAGAGAAAGCATGACATTGGGAAGAAGGCTGCGATGCATCTTTAGGAGGAAAGACCTCTCCGAGTGAGTGACACTGAGCAAAGACTTGAATGAAACACAAGAGGAAATTGTGCAAAAATGTGGCAAAGCTACAGGACACAGCTGAGGGCAAGACCAGAGAGGACAGCATAATAGGACGACAGATGCAAGAATGAATTCTCAGCTGATTGTGGGACAAACCCCAGTATATCATCATTTCCAACTAAAGGGGCTAAAGATCTTTAAGGCTCAAGGAGAACAGATTTGGAGGGAATAAAAGGAAGAATCTTTCATTGTTACAACCTGTGGCATGCCCAGAGTCCCCCAGACACATAAAACATGAGACAGAAAACCTTGTAAAAAGAATTATCTTTAAAAAAACTTTCCTACCCAAGGCTCAACTGGAAGATTGTAGACACGAGCTAGTTGACACAGTCTCAGCTGCCACAGAAGGGGTTCTTGCCTTAGATAAACAAGTTGGCCTTTGGAAGCCCTCATAACCTTGAGCTCTGAGTCAAATGGCTATCAATTTTTTTTTTTTTTTTGAGACAGAGTCTTGCTTTGTCACCCACACTGGAGTGGAGTGGGATGAAAATGACTCACTGCAGTCTCAACCGCCTGGGCCCAAGCAATTCTTTTGCCTCAGCCTTCCATGTAGGTAGGACCACAGGCACGTGCTACCACATCCAGCTAATTGTTTTAGAAACTTTTTTTGTAGAGATTAAGTCTCATTTTGTTGCCCAGGCTGGCCTCAAATTCCTGGGATCAAGCGATCCTTCTGCTTTGGCCTCCCAAAGTGCTGGGATTTCGGTCATGAGCCACCAATACCGGCTCATGTCTCTCAATTCTTACTTCCTTCCTAAACTGTTTTCCCTGTTAAGAAATGAAATAGTTATGTGATTGACAGGGTCTTCAATTACCAACTAAAACCAAGGCAACACTAGTAAATCCTCTGCCCTTGTGTGTTCAGAGATGACCCCATGCTGTGCCTGAGCACACACAGGTAACTAGCATGTCATTTCCTTTTATGCTCTTCTCCAGTCACTATGGTTGAGGTATGGCAGGTATGGGGCCAGGGTATGGTGTTGGGAGGCAGAAGTGACTGGTTCCAGACAGGGACAGCAGCTCTTAGTGGCTGTATATAACATACTCCAAAGGCTCAGAATATTGTTTTTTTTGAGAGAGGGTGTTGTTCTGTTACCCACGTTGGAGTGCAGTGGCACGATCCTGGCTCACTGCAACCGTGACCTCCCGGGCTCAAGCAATCTTCCCATATCAGCCTCTAGGGTAGCTGGGACTAAAGGTAAGCACTATCACGCCTGGCAATTTTTGTTGTTGCTGTTCTGTAGAGATGTGGTCTCACTATGTTGCCTAAGCTGGTCTTAGACATCTGGGCTCAAGTGATCCTTGTGCTCTGTCTCCCAAAGTATTGGGATTATAGGTGAGAACCAATGCACCTGGCTAGATTATTATTTTCTTTTTTTCTCAAAGACTCACACTCATAAAAATTCAATGAATTACTTATAATTTTTGGGTTTCTTATCTTTTTTTTCCTTTGAGACAGAGTCTCTCTCTGTCATCCAGGCTGGAGTGCAGTGGTGCATTCTCAGCTCACTGCAACCTCCAACTCCCTGGTTCAAGTGATTCTCCTCCCTCAGTCTCTCGAGTAGCTAGGATTATAGGCATGTGCCACCATGCCCAGCTAACTTTTTTGTATTTTTAGTAGAGATGGGGTTTCACCATTTTGGCCGGGATGGTCTCAATCTCCTGATCTCGTGATCCACCCACCTCAGCTTCCCAAAGTACTGGGATTACAGGCGTGAGCCACTGAGCCTGGCCAATTTTTGTCTTTCTTTTTTTTTTTTTTTGGGACAGAGTTTTGCTCTGTCACCAGGCTGGAGTGCAGTGGCACAATCTCGGCTCACTGCAATCTCCGCCTCCTGGGTTCAAGCAATTCTCCTGCCTCAGCCTCCTGAGCAGCTGGGACTACAGGCACGCGCCACCACGCCCAGCTGTTTTATATTTTTTAGTAGAGACGGGGTTTCACCAAATTGGCCAGGATGGTCTTGATCTCTTAACCTCATGATCCACCCGCCTCAGCCTCCCAAAGTGCTGGGATTACAGGCGTGAGCCACCGCACCCGGCCAATTCTTGTGTTTCTTAATCTTCACCCTTCTAAGACATTTGTATCCTTCATTTAGAGAGATCACTTCCATGAAAAATCTTAAAATGCAGGCAGAAAAAGAAATCTCCCGAACACCCTACTGGAACACAAAGGTGATTAGGCAAGACCTTGTTAACAAACACTAACAGACAGATTCCTATTTAATGACCTAGAGGAAACAATGCAAGGATATATCCAAGCTCATTAAAATTTAAGTCAGCTGTGGAGGAGAGGTACTGTGTATAGAACTGTACCCCATGAAAAGATATATTGCAGCCAGAATTCCCAGTATCTATTAATGTGATCTTACTTGGAAGTACGGCCTTTGCAAATGTTATCGGGATAAGATGAGGTCATACTACATTAGGGTAGGCCCTAATTCAGTGACTGGTGTCCTTTTAACAAGTCCATGTGGCCACGGAGGCAGAGATTGGAGTGATGCAGCTGCAAGCAAGCAAGGAATACCAAGGACTGCTGGGACCCACCAGAAGCTAGGAAGAGGCAAGGAAGGACACTCTCCTAGAATCTTGAGAGAGCATGGCCCTGCCAATACCTTGATTCCAGACTTCTTGCCACCAGAAGGTTGGGAAAAATGAGTTTCTATTGTGTTAAGCCACCAAGTTTGTGGTAATTTATTGTGACCGCCTAGGAAATGAATACAAGAAACAAATTGTATTTAATTTTTTTACTTGCAAAAAAAGTTCTTAACTTCCAGGCTGAGCACTGTGGCTCAGGCCTGTAATCCCAGTACTTTGGGAGGCTAAGGTGGGTGGATCACAAGGTCAAGAGATTGAGACCATCCTGGCCAACATGGTGAAACCCTTGTCTCTACTAAAAATACAAAAATTAGTTGGGCATGGTGGCACATGCCTGTAGTCCCAGCTACTCGGGAGGCTGAGGCAGGAGAATTGCTTGAACCCAGGAGACAGAGGTTGCAGTGAGCCAAGATTGTGCCACTACACACTCCAGCCTGGCAAGAGAGCAATACTCTGTCTTTAAAAAAAAAAAGTTCTTAACTTCCTGAGTGTAAACTGTAACAACTTGGGGGAAAGGAAGTAATGTCATGTTTTCTGTGATTTTTAAGGCCCCCAATAGCCTACCTATACAGAGCTGCTATAATGCCTGTGAAAAGGTGAATTTATTGAGCAAGATTGATAGATTAGT